TGTGTTTGCTTGGTAGTCGGCTGCCAGCAACATAGCTGCCTGAGTACGGCCTCGCCAAGTGCTGAGGGAACTTTTTGGCCTCGCATCGGCAGAGGGTGTGTTTTCGGCCTCGCTTCGGCAGAGGGAGGGGCTAGTTTCGGCCTCGCTCCGGCTGAGGACACATAAAGTTCGGCCTCACTACGGTTGAGGGGATCTTAGGCCTCGCATTGCTGAGGTGCTGGTGGGACTGGCATCAGGCTGCAGCAGTCATGGGGAAGCATTGTACTGTGTGTGCCCACTGTGAGGTGGGTTGGGTCTGGAATGAAGACTTGTACTACAACCCGAACTGCTGGCATTGCGGAAAGGCGTGGAAAAAGGCCACCTACCGTGAGCGAGCATGGTCAAGCCAGCGTAAGAAGTGGCAATGGCCAAAGGACGACGCTACATGGTGGACAAGACAGGCCAAGAACAAAGAAGGGATGGCCGACCAAGCCCTCACGAAGGCGTGGGGTACGCTTTCTATGGAGGCAAAGAAGGCCATCGAAGAAGCAGGATGGAAGCCGCAGACGATGGAGCCGGGGCCCAATTGGCCCCCGGGACTACCAGGCAGTGGATCGCAAACCGAAAGCATGACGCAAAAGGAGTACCACGAGGCCATTGAAACGGTGTGGCAGGGAGCTGAGCCCGCAGTGCAAAGGCTGCTCAGAGCAGCGGGTATTCCCCCGCCAGGGGATTACAAGCCTGAGGATGAGACACCAAAGCAGGAGCTCAGCCGCCATGTTGGTACATACAGAAGGACGACAAACAAGCTGAGATCACTCATTGAGAAGAAGGTCCGGCTTCAAGACAAAACGGAAAGGATCAAGAGCGAGTTCGAGCAGGCCATGAAGCAGCTTGCGCAAGTCAGCCAGGCCATCCAGACCACGGAGCTTGAGGTTGCGGAAGCACAGAGGAAGGTACAAGCCTGCGTGAAAGATGAGGAGGATTCGCCGTACAAGGACGTCGCGTCCTACCTGGAAAAGGAAGGGATCATCCTGACCGACGAGCAAGCGGAAGCGCTCAAAACAAGGATGGCAGTCAAGGTCGTGGAGACAGACTGGACTGGAGTCTTGGGACCACGAGAGCCAGGCCTGCCAACCGAACTTGGCATGTATGGGCCGATGCGCATGTCTCGAGATGTGTCAGTCAGGGCAACGCCGACGGGGCGCGAACGCTCGCCGGCGCGTGCCCATGGCGAATGAAGCCTCAGGCTGGGACAGGAGTGGAGGGGTCGACACCTCAGAGTCGCTCCTGGTCCGAACAGCCAAAAGAAGCAAGCAAGACAGTCTCAGGAGTCTCAATGGGGAGAAGCAGTGTCACGGGGACATTGTATGGCCACAGGCGCATGGGGAAGGCAGTCAAGCTGTGTCTAGTACCCATGTGCCTAGTACAAACAGCACAGTGGAAGACAGCCAAGAGAGCTGGAGTCCAGTTACGAGGGGTCCTGAGCCTGTCCGAGCTGTGGACAGCAGTTGGGCGGTCACAGGGCCCAGATACTTCCATTTAACAAGGGAAGACATCGAAGAGGAATGTGAGCATTCGGCCTCGCGAGAAGCTGAGGGAAGCCAAATACAGATGAGAGACCATGCAGCGGTTAGAGGGGAGAACATGAAGGCCTCGCAGGAAGCTGAGGAAACACGATTCTCGGCCTCGCCGTGTGCTGAGGGTCGCAGAGGAAAACAAAAGCCCAAGAAGCGGAAAGCAAAACCCACGGAACCACCAAAAGATCTGCCACAGGAGTGGCAAACGCTATGCCAAGTGGTGGGTAGATATGATGCTTCCAGTGAGGCTGCTGCACTCGAAGCCATTGAGAAGCTGGAAGAGCAGGAACTCAACCCGCTACAACAACGAGCATGCCACGAAGTGCTTCGTTCCCTTGTGGAGCATGACGCACAATATGCCAAATGGATCTTGGCAGATGTGGCAAGTGGGTATCGCCAAGATGATAAGGCCGAATGTATCAAAATCACAGCGGCTAACATCACCAGCTGGAGGAAACCCATAGCGGCATGGATACACGAACTAGGACCGGACCTGGTGGTGCTGCAGGAAACCCATCTCAAGACGGAGGGTATCCAGCAAGCCATGAGCCATTGCCAAGATATGGGATACACCTTCATTGGCATGCCAGGCAGTACAAAAATTAAGGGTGTACAAGGAGGCCTGGCAGTGGTGGCACCCCGACATAGGAATCTGCGATACCTTACCGAGTATGGGTCAGGACCAGCGGGCTTCCTGGCATGTGCCATGAGAAACAAAGGATGGGATTTGATCATCGTCAGTCTGTATTTGGAGAGCGGGGTCGGATTCCAGGCTCCAAACAATATCCAAGTACTGGCGAGACTGATAGCCTTTCTCAAGGGCTGCAAAGTGCCATATATGGTGCTGGGAGATTGGAATGAAGCCCAGGATACCATGAGGGGCACAACTATGGCGACAGAAGTTGGTGGTGCATTTGTAGGAGTGGGGGAACCAACGGCCCAAGGATCGGACGAAATTGATTACGGGCTGGTTGCGAAATGCTTGGTGCCCATCCTGCAAGTGAAAACGGATTGGGAAACCCCTTTTCGGCCTCATGCTGCGATGCATTGGAGGGTAGCCCAACCGAGCAGTAGCCCTGATGTTCCCCAGATGAAGAAGGCGGGAGCATTGGTGACGGAGACGGTGGAATACGAACCAGTTCAAAACACACAGAGCATCAACATCCTGGATGAACCCAAGATGGAAGATGAGCTCAGTGAGACATTCGCTCACCTGAGTGCCGGGGTGGAGAGGTCGATCACAGGCCGAATCGAAGGCATGGGTGTTAAATCCGAGATTGTCCGGAAGAAGTTGGTGGTCAACAACCCGGAGAACGTTGTCTGGACAGGCAAGAGGGCGGCCTTTTGGAACAGGGTCCAACAATGGGTCAAACAAGGCAGACATCATGGCGATGCGCATCCGGTGGCGCGTCTGGTCCAACGCAGGCTCGGCGAGTATTACGAGGGTGATGCGCAGAACCAGGAGGATATGCTCGAGAATATCCTGGGCCGGGGTACGGACGCTAGACTTGTTCTGAAGCGCATCGACGAACAGCAATGCTACGCGAGAAAGGCGGATATGGAAGAGACAGCCCACCAGTACAAGCAATGGCTCAGCAAGGCCATGGAAAAGGGCATGCGACCATTATACAATGCCTTGCGAAAAGAAGAACAAGTGGTACAAAGACCCTACATGGAATATGACATGCTGGAACGGCCACACATTCGCCGAGACCACTGGGCGGCAGTGTGGACGACGGGCCAGCCGTTGGCAAAATCGGCCTCGCTCATGACGGAGCTTGAGGATGCAGCCAAAAAACAAGCGGCCAGCGTGGAGCCGCTGAACCCTGTCGAGGTCAAGGCAAGGATCAAAAAACTGGCACTAAAGAGCCCGGGGCCGGATGGCTGGAGGATTGACCATTTGCAGGCCATGGACGACAAAGCAGTTGAAGCCGTTGTGTCCTTCTACCATGAATGTGAGGCCAAGGCAGCATGGCCGCAGCAAATGACAGTCTCCCTTATAGCAATGCTGCCGAAGAATCTGACCCGGGAAAGACCAATCGCCTTGCTACACATCCTGTACAGGACCTGGGTCCGTTTGCGATGGGATTTGGTAAGTACTTGGCAGGCAGGCTATGCCCAAACTGCCACGTACGACAAGGCAGTCCCAGGCAGTTGCTGCTTGGACGTGGCCGTAGGCAGACTACTGCGAAATGAGGTGGCGAAGACAAATGGTGTGCATGTGGTGTCACTCTTTGTGGACCTCGAGTCCTTTTTCGATACCATCCAATTTCAGCAATTGATCACGGCAGCAACGGCCCTGCAATATCCACCGCTAATCCTGAAGATGGCACTGGAAGTGTACATGGGTGCCAGATATTTGGTGGCGGATGGGGTGCTGTCGGCAGGCATCAGAGCTACGAATGGCGTGCAAGCGGGTTGCCCAGCGGCGCCATCGTTGGCAAAGGTGGCATTGCACCCGGTGATAGATAAGATCCAAAGGCGACGAGATGTGGCAAACGTGGATTGTTGGTTGGATGATGTCTCAATTGACATCCAGCATAAGTCCTTTAAACAAGTGGCGGATAGTGCGATACGAGTCTACCGCAGCTTAAAGGACGGGATGGACGCTAATGGTTTCACGATTTCATCCAAGAAGACAGGGTTTGTGGCCAGCAGTACCCAGGCGAGCAAGCACCTGCGAGAACTCCTGTTGCCTCATGAGCCACAGGTGTACGACGTGATGCGTGACTTGGGCGTCGACAGTACAGGGGGGCGAAAGCGTCGCTTGGTTACGTCGGCAACGCGGGCCAAGAAAGCCCATGCGAGACATAGCAAACTGTCCAGGCTGGGGCCGCCGCCCAGCACTAAACTCCGCGTGGTCAAGGCAGCGATCACATCCGTTGCTTTGTGGGGGCACCCCTCTGTGGGGGTATCACCTAAAAGAATGAAATGGCGCCGAACAGTGGTAGGAAAACACCTGGGTAAATACAAGCTTGGGAGTTTGGAAACCATCTTGGACATGGGAGCCAAGAAATGCCAGGATCCAAAGCGCACAATCCACAAGCAGCATTTCAAGGTGGTGGCCAAGGTTTTCCGTGCATGGATTGGTGGCGGAAAAGCCCACTTTGACTTGGCCTGGAAAACCACTTGGAAGAGGTTGAGTGCGGCCAAACACCACTGGCCACTGGTCACGGGGCCGATGGCAGCAACCATGGCGTACTTAATGGATCTGAAGGTGGATGCCAGTGACCCAGGCAAATGGAAGAGAGGAAGTGTCCTCAACGTTGATTGGACCCAGCCACGCATGGGTAGCCTCGCCTACAAATGGCTTGAGGGATTCCTGAGGAACAAAAACGGGCTGCAATAGCGCGACAGGCAGGTGGCGATGGTGCCCAAGAGGGGCTGGATTGGACGCCGCATCACAAGCTGACGAAGCTGGGAGGCCTAAGCCCAGGCCTTATGGAAGGTATAAAGTCAGTGTGGCACGCGGGCGTCATCACGGAGACCAAGCCAGGATGGTGCAAGAAGTGCCAAATGCCAGCAACTCTGGAGCATGTCCTCAAGGAATGTCCTTACTGGCGTGAACAAGGGTTCAAAGAACCCAAGCTCCAGGAATACTTGCGTCACAAATACCCATGGGAGTGTTTGTGGACAAGGGCACTCCTGCCAAAGCCGGCGGTGTGGCACCCGAAGCCGCCGGAACACCTTTTAGGTCTGCGATACCAAGGATGCTTCGCAGCTGATGCAAAAGTGGAAGCGGAAGGCTTGATCTTCGCCACTGACGCAAGTGGAGGTCCAGGAGGAATAGACCCACGTGTACAAACATCAGCCCTTGCAGTGGTGGCTATGTCCTGGACAAAAGGTGTCCTGGTGGAAGTCGGACGGATTACAGAGCTGGTCTACCCGTGGCAGCCGGTGGTGGACATGGAGCGTCGTGCACTTTTCCGACTAATGGAGCACACGGAGGATCTGATTGATGTCACTATGGATTGCAAGCCGGCAGTCCAAGTGCTACAAAAAACACAACCGCCGGAGGATGACCTGGAATGGAGCAAAGTGTGGAATGGCAGGAAACGTATCAAGGCAACATGGGTCCCGTCCCACAAAACTGAAGAGGAATTCCTGGCGAAGATGGGGCCGGGTACGTTGTGGCGACGTGCAGCGAATGACATGGCAGACAAAGTATGTGGAGCAGTGGCGGCGGCTGCTTACAGCCCAGCGCACAAGAGGCGTGTCAAAGAATTGGACAATGTGGTGCGCACACTTTCCCTGGCGTACGGTGCACGCGCAGCCCACATATTGCGGAAGCGCAAAGAAGAAGACTTCCCCTTCATCCTGGACCATGCGCACTACAAAGAGAAGATGGAAGCCTCGCAGAAAGCTGAGGGATGCAAAAAAGAGCAGGGCAGCGCCAAACTCAACAAACGCCAGCGGCTTTGGCAGTTGCTTAAAAACCCGGAGCGCGGGCATCAATGGGAGAAAGGCAGCGAACACCCCCGGAATTTAACACTGAAATGTCAACTGTGCGGGTTGTATGTACAACAAACCCTCACGAACTTGGAGGTGGTCTTGGAGCAGCACTGCGTCAACCAGCCGGAGGCGCGAGTGCGTGAAGAGTGGGGTATCCACCCCTCCCATAATATGGTGAATTTGGGAATCCGTTGGGTTTGCACAAAGTGTGACAGAACACATGCACCGGTCAGCCAGAAGTGCAATAAAAGCCTGGCGGGTGAGTGCAAATCGCGGACTTCTCAAGGCAAGCTGGCTACCCAAGCGCAAACCCTTGTCAATGGTGGAAGTATGAGCAACGTCCAGTTTCAGCAGCCTCGCGTTCAGTTTGGTGGGAAACACGCCAAAGCTAAGCCCCAAGCCAGCGCACAGCAGAAGATGTCATTGTTTGTTAGGCCTCGCCAAGCTGAGGGAACGCAGTAATTCCGCAGCCGTTTGGTGCAAGGAGCAGGGTTTTTTCGGCCTCGTAGCTGAGGGTGAGGGCCTCGCAACGGGGACTTGCGATTGGTGTTTACGGCCTCGCTTTGCTGAGGGTGTGTAATTCGGCCTCGCGGTGCCGCGTGCTTGCGACATCGTCGGACAAGGCGGGCCTGTAGCAATGAGGCAATGGAAGACGGATGCTACGATGAGAAGACAAGGGTCCCGACTGCCATCCTGGTTAAGGAATCGGCCGGACAAAGGCAAGGGCAAAAGCAAGAACAAGCAGAAGGATCAGCCCCGTGAACGTTCCCCGCTTCGACAGGCCAGACACCCGGAGCAGCCTTGGGATAGTGAAGAGGAGAGAGCTTCGGAATCTCCGGTGGGTCCGGTACGCCTACGGGAGAGAGGAGAAGACAGTACGGCCTCGCCTCAAGCTGAGGGTGTCGATGAAGAGCAAGAGGCAAGCCAGCCTCGTACAGTCACGCTGGCGGAAGGGCCAGGTGCCCACAATATGGCCTCGCAGGAAGCTGAGGGAAAGGAGAAAAAGAAAGCCATGGGGCAAGTCAAGCCTGTGCACCTTTTGGTGCATAAATTGCAGAACCAGCAAAGGCCAAGGACAGCGCTCCATTGGCTTGGGGAGGTCCAATTGGTCCGCAACCCAACGACAGGGCAAAGCTTACAGCCTAGGGTGCTTCCCTTTATAGGTGCGGGGCGCACTCGACGAGGATATGCTCTGGATCGGCTATGGGTCATGAAACTAGCGATGGAACCCCAGAGCTTTGGCAACGAAGCAGGGTATGGGGAACAATTCCCCACCCTGGTCACCAGGACCCTGTGGGCAGGATGGATTGGAGTCCTTTTCGACGAAGCGGTGGAGGGTTACTGCCACCACTACTTCTATGGAAGTATCATCCGCAGGGCAGAGCTGTTCAACACATGGTGGCAGGAACATCGCCATGAAGCCGGGGTCCTCAGACAGTCCCTGTTTTACCTGGTGGCTATAACGTCATGGCTGACCATGCAAGGAGTTGCTCTATCGGATATCACGGTGAGCAACGTTGGGCGCGACCCAATGTCAGGATCGCTACCACGGGCAATGTTCTTTGACACGGCGGAGTGGACGACGCTGCAGGAGGAGAGATACAAGATATCATGCGGCCTCGTACGCCTCCTGGAGAAATATGATGAGGAGCTACTGGCAACCATACGTGGATTGGTCAGAACGTACGACGGCAAGGCCAGCGCGCTTTGGATGGCGTGCGTAGGCAATGTCGGGCCATTTGCCCAGCACCTGCTGGATGCCGGAATTGCAAAACGAGGATGGGATGGAACCCTACATTCGGTTCCGGCAACAGAGATCCAGAAAATCACGTTGGGCATGCCGTGTGACGAAGCTGATGAGTGAGCAGCGCAGAACAGACAAGAAACATGGATAGTGGTCAGAGAGGCACCAACAAACCGAATCAAAATACCGCCTCGGCGTGCTGCCTGAGGAGTTTCGGCCTCGACTTCGGTCTGAGGGGTGCAAGAGAGGGAAGTTCGGCTCGGCATGACCTGAGGGAATTTCGGCCTCGACCACGGTCTGAGGGAATGGATTTCGGCCTCGACAAATGTCTGAGGAAAGTGAGGGCTAGTACCGGTAGTCTCACTGTGCAGAGTTTGTAGCTTGTATGTTTCACCCACTAACCTCAGCCCCTTCGGGTGGCTACGCCTCGCAGCGTGCAGACGTAAAATTCGCCTGGCTCAAGGTTTCGGCTCAACCCCGGTGGGGTGCTCAGGTAGAGAGCGTCTTTAGTGCCGTTGTGGCTGGCCCTGGGGCTTAAGGGTAGGTTCCGTTTTGAGGCCTGGCAAAACTGTGTTTGCTCGTAGGCCGGCTGACCGGCTAAGCTGTCATAGAGCGGCGGCCCGCCAACTGCTGCCGTCGACGAAGGGCGTGAGTGCACAGTTTTCGACCTCGCTTCGCTAGAGGGAAGCTTTTCGTCCTCGCGTTGCTGAGGGAACCTTGTGGCCTACAGTCTGCTCTGGGTCACAGTGAGAGTTGCAGCCTCGCATTGCTTGAGGGGTGACGCAAGCCTGTTGCTCACCAGAGATTCCTGCTGTCTCTGGGTGAGCAAAACCCACCGACCCTCATTTGGATTGAGGGCTGTGCTGAAGGTGAGTTTGGGTTCCTCGCTCACTTGTGTGGAAAACGAAGGTGAGACCGAAACACGGGGGGAAACGGCCAGGCACGCTGCAGACAGTGCAGGCCAACGTCGCACTGCAAGAGGCATCCTTGCAGTGGCGACAGGAGTGTCCCGAACAATTGCGGTGTGCTCGAGCCCAAGCTTGCAGGTTTTCGGGGATCTGCAAGCTGAGCACAACAGGATTTTCTTCGCAGGTAGAATCAGGTAGAAAAGATTTGGCCCAACCCTGGTGGATCTGCCTGGACATAAATAACCAGAGGCATCAGTGTCGTAAAGCTCATTGACTGGTGCTACTGAGAAACCGTTGCCAAGGAACTTGCAGTAGGACTGTGGTGCGGCGCAGTGCAAGTTGAAGAGCAGCTGGTGGTGGCTGCTCCCCGGAAAACCAATAGTCCAAGAAGCCTCCTTCGGCCTCGCTCCGTGCTGAGGGTTTGTAAGGGTTGGTATTGGCCGGAAAGGATTCAGATGGAGGTTACCCGATCTTCGCGCTTTTCCCATCTGAAGGCAACCAATGGTAATCAGCCTGCTGGACATGGCAGGCCTGCTTTTGTTTACATCCACGTCTCCTGCAAGGGCTGGGGTCTGTCCGTGCACACAGACAAGGCGGAACCTTGCAGATGTTTAGGTCCTCGCGGCACGGCCGCTGGAGGTTGTTTGAAGATGTTGGCTCTCACTATCTGGTGAGTGGTTTGTATGGGCACTTGCTGGGGCAAGGCGGCTCTGGCGTCTGAGGATGGTACATGTGCTGGCTGCTGAGTACGGGCCACCGAAAGAGACCTGTGGTAAGACAAGCGATGAAAGGAGCCGAACTCCTAAAGAAAGGACAGGCTAGCTCACGCGGACGCCACGCAGAGTATGTGTTACTATCTTCAGATGTTGGAGCCAAATTGCCAGCCTTGTGACGTGAGATGTGGTGTTTGGATTCGGCCTCAAGCACTGGAAGGCCTACAACAACAAATCCGAATGAAAACTGTGGTCCTAAGACACGCGGTGCAGCTGCTTATACGTGGCACCGCGGGGGTCACATAGAGATAGAGGGCTTGCCAGCAAGGGAACTCTGTCTAAAGAGAGCCCTGGCTCAGTGAGGAGCTGAGGGCCTGGCTGCGCTGATGCAGCGGAATGGTTGTTCGGCCTCGCCTCCGCTGAGGGAACAACAGTCAATGCTTCTCTGCAGTGTCGGTCCGGGTTAGTAAGAGCGAGAACGCCGGGACCTCGAGCTGCAGTTTTACCATGAAGCAACCGCGTGAGATGCATTATTGGTCAACTGGTGAGTAAGAGCGAGAAAGCCAGGGTGACGCTACTTTGGGGGAGGCTGCAAGGCACGGTTAGTAAGTGCGAGAAAGCCGGAGCTGCGGACGAACCTGGAGTAGCAGTTTTTCATACCTCACGTGTTTCACTTTGCGGCCTCGCATGCGCTGAGGAAATATGCCTCGAACAGAACATCCAGTGCTGAGTGGGGATTGCCAAACTTACGGAGGCTGATGCCACAACAAGTGCCTCAACAGCAATGCATGCGGAGGGCAAAGTTCGGCCTCGCGAGTGCTGAGGGTTGCAGCTGAGAGAGGGCCTAGCTGAGAACGCAACACCTCAAGCGAGGTAATTTTTAGTTTAGTTTCACCTTGACCAACGGCCCCTTCGGGTGGCTACGCCTCGCAGCGTGCAGACGTAAAATTCACCTGGCTCAAGTTTCGGCTCAACCCCGGTGGGGTGCTCAGGTAGGGAGTGCTGTTGCCTGGAGACTGTACCTAAGGGTGGGCTCCAACAGGACTCAAACCGCAACCACTGTGTTTGCTTGGTAGTCGGCTGCCAGCAACATAGCTGCCTGAGTACGGCCTCGCCAAGCGCTGAGGGAACTTTTCGGCCTCGCTTCGGCAGAGGGTGTGTTTTCGGCCTCGCTTCGGCAGAGGGAGTGGCCAAGTTTCGGCCTCGCTCCGGCTGAGGATACATAAAGTTCGGCCTCACTACGGTTGAGGGGATCTTCCGGCCTCGCATTGCTGAGGTGCTGGTGGGACTGGCATCAGGCTGCAGCAGTCATGGGGAAGCATTGTACTGTGTGTGCCCACTGCGAGGTGGGTTGGGTCTGGAATGAAGACTTGTACTACAACCCGTACTGCTGGCATTGCGGAAAGGCGTGGAAAAAGGCCACTTACCGTGAGCGAGCATGGTCAAGCCAGCGGAAGAAGTGGCAATGGCCAAAGGAAGACGCTACTTGGTGGACAAGACCTGCCAAGAACAAAGAAGGGATGGCCGACCAAGCCCTCACGAAGGCGTGGGGTACGCTTTCTATGGAGGCAAAGAAGGCCATCGAAGAAGCAGGATGGAAGCCGCGGACGATGGAGCCGGGGCCAATTTGGCCCCCGGGATTACCTGGCAATGGATCGCAGGCAGAAAGCATGTCACAGAAGGAGTACCATGCGGCCATTGAGACTGTGTGGCAAGGAGCCGAGCCCGCAGTGCAAAGGCTCCTCAGAGCGGCGGGTATACCCCCGCCGGGGGACTACAAGCCTGAGGACGAGACGCCAAAGCAGGAACTCAGCCGCCATGTTGGTACATACAGACGGACGACAAACAAGCTGAGAACGCTCATTGAGAAGAAGGTCCGGCTTCAAGACAAAACGGAGAAGATAAAGAGCGAGTTCGAGCAGGCCATGAAGCAGCTTGCGCAAGTCAGCCAGGCCATCCAGGCCACGGAGCTGGAGGTAGCGGAAGCACAGAAGAAGGTCCAAGCCTGTGTGAAGGATGAAGAGGACTCGCCATACAAGGACGTCGCGGACTACCTGGAAAAGGAAGGGATCATCCTGTCTGAGGAGCAAGCGGAGGCGCTCAAAACAAGGATGGCAGTCAAAGTCGTGGAGACAGACTGGACGGGAGTCTTGGGACCAAGAGAGCCGAGCATGCCAGTTGAACTTGGCATATATGGGCCGATGCGCATGTCTCGAGATGTGTCAGTCAGGGCAACGCCGACGGGGCGCGAACGCTCGCCGGCGCGTGCCCAGGGCGAGTGAAACCTCAGGCTGGGACAGGAGCGGAGGGGCCGACACCTCAGGGCAGCTCCTGGTCCGAACAGCCAAACTATGAAAGCAGGACAAGTAGAGGAGTCTCAATGGGGAGACTCTGATTTCTCTTTTGACGGTGGCCGAAAGCAGTGTCACGGGGACATTGTATGGCCACAGGTACATGGGGAAGGCAGTCAAGCTGTGTGTAGTACCCAAGTGCCTAATACAAACAGCACAGTGGAAGACAGCCAAGAGAGCTGGAGTCCAGTAACGCGGGGTCCAAAGTCAGCCCGTGCTGTGGATAGCAGTTGGGCGGTCACAGGTCCCAGATACTTCGGTCTGGGAGGTGCGGACCATGAGGATGAATGTGTGAATTCGGCCTCGCAAAAAGCAGAGGGAAGCCAAACACAGATGGGAGACCCAACTGCGGTAAGAGGGGATAGCCTAAAGGCCTCGCAGAAAGCTGAGGAAGCAAGGTTGTCGGCCTCGCAAAGTGCTGAGGGTCACCAAAGGAAGCAAAAGCCCAAGAAACGGAAAGCGCACCCAAGAGCACCACCTAAGGATCTACCACAGGAGTGGCAAATGTTGTGTCAAGTGGTGGGTAGATATGATGCTTCCAGTGAGGCTGCCGCACTCGAAGCCATTGAGAAACTGGAAGAGCAGGAACTCAACCCGCTACAACAACGAGCATGCCACGAAGTGCTTCGTTCCTTTGTGGAGCAGGACGCACAATATGCCAAGTGGATCTTGGCAGATGTGGCAAGTGGGTATCGCCAAGATGATAAGGCCGAATGCATCAAAATCACCTCGGCTAACATCACCAGCTGGAGGAAACCCATAGCGGCATGGATACACGAACTAGGACCGGACCTGGTGGTGCTGCAGGAAACCCATCTCAAGACAGAGGGTATCCAGCAAGCCATGAGCCATTGCCAAGATATGGGATACACCTTCATTGGCATGCCAGGCAGTACAAAAACTAAGGGTGTACAAGGAGGCCTGGCAGTGGTGGCACCCCGACATAGGAACCTGCGATACCTTATTGAGTATGGGACAGGACCGGCGGGCTTCCTGGCATGTGCCATGAGAAATAAAGGCTGGGATTTGATCATCGTCAGTCTGTATTTGGAGAGCGGGGTCGGATTCCAGGCTCCAAACAATATCCAAGTACTGGCGAGACTGATAGCCTTTCTCAAGGGCTGCAAAGTGCCATATATGGTGCTGGGTGATTGGAATGAAGCCCAGGATACCATGAGGGGCACAACTCTGGCGACAGAAGTTGGTGGTGCATTTGTTGGAGTGGGGGAACCAACGGCCCAAGGATCGGACGAAATCGATTGCGGGCTGGTTGCGAAATGCTTGGTGCCCATCCTGCAAGTGAAAACGGATTGGGAAACCCCTTTTCGGCCTCATGCTGCAATGCATTGGAGGGTGGCCCAACCGTGCAGTAGCCCTGATGTTCCCCAGATGAAGAAGGCGGGAGCACTGGTGACGGAGACTGTGGAATATGAACCAGTACAAAACACACAGAGCATCAACATCTTGGATGAACCCAAGATGGAAGATGAGCTCAGTGAGACATTTGCTCACCTGAGTGCCGGTGTGGAGAGGTCGATCACAGGCCGAATCGATGGTATGGGTGTTAAATCGGAGATTGTGCGGAAGAAATTGGTGGTCAACAACCCGGAGAACGTTGTCTGGACGGGCAAGAGGGCGGCCTTTTGGAACCGGGTCCAACAATGGGTCAAACAAGGCAGACATCATGGCGATGCACATCCGGTGGCGCGTCTGGTCCAACGCAGGCTCGGCGAGTATTACGAGGGTGATGCGCAGAACCAGGAGGATATGCTTGCGAGTATCCTGGGCCGGGGTACGGACGCTAGGCTTGTTCTGAAGCGCATCGACGAACAGCAATGCTACGCGAGAAAGGCGGATATGGAGGAGACAGCCCACCAGTACAAGCAATGGCTCAGTAAGGCCATGGAAAAGGGCATGCGACCATTATACAATGCCTTGCGAAAAGAAGAACAAGTGGTACAAAGACCCTACATGGAATATGACATGCTGGAACGGCCACACATTCGCCGAGACCACTGGGCGGCAGTGTGGACGACGGGCCAGCCGTTGGCAAAATCGGCCTCGCTCATGACGGAGCTTGAGGATGCAGCCAAAAAACAAGCGGCCAGCGTGGAGCCGCTGAACCCTGTCGAGGTCAAGGCAAGGATCAAAAAACTGGCACTAAAGAGCCCGGGGCCGGATGGCTGGAGGATTGACCATTTGCAGGCCATGGACGATAAAGCAGTTGAAGCCGTTGTGTCCTTCTACCATGAATGTGAGGCCAAGGCAGCATGGCCGCAGCAAATGACAGTCTCCCTTATAGCAATGCTGCCGAAGAATCTGACCCGGGAAAGACCAATCGCCTTGCTACACATCCTGTACAGGACTTGGGTCCGTCTGCGATGGGATTTGGTAAGTACTTGGCAGGCAGGCTATGCCACAGCTGCCACGTACGACAAGGCAGTCCCAGGCAGTTGCTGCTTGGACGTGGCCGTCGGCAGACTACTGCGAAATGAGGTGGCAAAGACAAATGGAGTGCATGTGGTGTCACTCTTTGTGGACCTCGAGTCCTTTTTCGATACCATCCAATTTCAGCAATTGATCATGGCAGCAACGGCCCTGCAATATCCACCGCTAATCCTGAAGATGGCACTGGAAGTGTACATGGGTGCCAGATACTTGGTGGCGGATGGGGTGCTATCGGCAGGCATCAGAGCTACAAATGGCGTGCAAGCGGGTTGCCCAGCGGCGCCATCGTTAGCAAAGGTGGCATTGCACCCGGTGATAGAAAAGATCCAAAGGCGACGAGATGTGGCAAACGTGGACTGTTGGTTGGATGATGTCTCAATTGACATCCAGCATAAGTCCTTTAAACACGTGGCGGATAGTGCCATACGAGTCTACCGCAGCTTAAAGGAAGGGATGGATGCTAATGGTTTCACGATTTCATCCAAGAAGACAGGGTTTGTGGCCAGCAGTACCCAGGCGAGCAAGCACCTGCGTGAACTCCTGCTGCCTCATGAGCCACAGGTGTACGACGTGATGCGTGACCTGGGCGTCGATAGTACAGGGGGGCGAAAGCGTCGCTTGGTGACGTCGGCAACGCGGGCCAAGAAAGCCCATGCGAGACATAGCAAACTGTCTAGGCTGGGGCCGCCGCCCAGCACTAAACTCCGCGTGGTCAAGGCAGCGATCACATCAGTTGCTTTGTGGGGGCACCCCTCTGTGGGGGTTTCACCCAAAAGAATGAAATGGCTCCGGACAGTGGTAGGAAAACACCTGGGTAAATACAAGCTTGGGAGTTTGGAAACCATCTTGGACATGGGAGCCAAGAAATGCCAGGATCCAAAGCGCACAATCCACAAGCAGCATTTCAAAGTGGTGGCCAAAGTTTTCCGTGCATGGATCGGTGGCGGAAAAGCCCACTTTGACTTGGCCTGGAAAACCACTTGGAAGAGGTTGAGTGCGGCCAAACACCACTGGCCACTGGTCACGGGGCCGATGGCTGCAACCATGGCGTACTTACTGGATCTGAAGGTAGATGCCAGTGACCCAGGCAAATGGAAGAGAGGTAGTGTCCTCAACGTTGATTGGACCCAGCCACGCATGGGTAGCCTCGCCTACAAATGGCTTGAGGGATTCCTGGAGGAACAGAAGCGGGCTGCGATAGCGCGACAGGCAGGTGGCGCTGGTGCCCAAGAGGGGCTGGATTGGACGCCGCATCACAAGTTGACGAAGCTGGGAGGCCTAAGCCCAGGCCTTATGGAAGGTATAAAGTCAGTGTGGCACGCGGGCGTCATCACGGAGTCCAAGCCAGGATGGTGCAAGAAGTGCCAAATGCCAGCAACTCTGGAGCATGTCCTCAAAGAATGTCCTTACTGGCGTGAACAAGGGTTCAAAGAACCCAAGCTCCAGGAATACTTGCGTCACAAATACCCATGGGAGTGTCTGTGGACAAGGGCACTCCTGCCAAAGCCGGCGGTGTGGCACCCGAAGCCACCGGAACACCTTTTAGGTCTACGTTACCAAGGATGCTTTGCAGCAGATGCAAAAGTGGAAGCGGAAGGCTTGATCTTCGCCACTGACGCAAGTGGAGGTCCAGGAGGAATAGACCCACGTGTACAAACATCAGCCCTCGCAGTGGTGGCTCTGTCCTGGACAAAAGGTGTCCTGGTGGAAGCCGGACGGATTACAGAGCTGGTCTACCCGTGGCAGCCGGTGGTGGACATGGAGCGCCGTGCACTTTTCCGACTAATGGAGCACACGGAGGATCTGATTGATGTCACTATGGATTGCAAGCCGGCAGTCCAAGTGCTACAAAAAACACAACCGCCGGAGGATGACCTGGAATGGAGCAAAGTGTGGAATGACAGGAAACGTATCAAGGCAACCTGGGTCCCGTCCCACAAAACTGAAGAGGAATTCCTGGCGAAGATGGGGCCGGGCACGTTGTGGCGACGTGCAGCGAATGACATGGCAGACAAAGTATGTGGTGCAGTAGCGGCGGCTGCTTACAGCCCAGCGCACAAGAGGCGTGTCAAAGAGTTGGACAATGTGGTGCGCACACTTTCCCTAGCGTACGGCGCACGCGCAGCCCACATATTGAGGACGCGCAAAGAAGAAGACTTCCCCTTCATCCTGGACCATGCCCATTACAAAGAGAAGATGGAGGCCTCGCAGAAAGCTGAGGGATGCAAAAAAGAGCAGGGCAACGCCAAACTCAACAAACGCCAGCGGCTTTGGCAGTTGCTGAAAAACCCGGAGCGCGGGCATCAATGGGAGAAGGGCAGCGAACACCCCCGGAATTTAACACTGAAATGTCAACTGTGCGGGTTGTATGTACAACAAACCCTCACGAACTTGGAGGTGGTCTTGGAGCAGTACTGCGTCAACCAGCCGGAGGCGCGAGTGCGTGAAGAGTGGGGTATCCACCCCTCCCATAATATGGTGAATTTGGGAATCCGTTGGGTTTGCACAAAGTGTGACCGAACACATGCACCGGTCAGCCAGAAGTGCAATAAAAGCCTGGCGGGGGAGTGCAAATCGCGGACTTCTCAGGGCAAGCTGGCTACCCAAGCGCAAACCCTTGTCAATGGTGGAAGTATGAGCAACGTCCAGTTTCAACAGCCTCGCGTTCAGTTTGGTGGGAAACACGCCAAAGCTAAGCCCCAAGCCAGCGCACAGCAGAAGATGTCATTGTTTGTTAGGCCTCGCCAAGCTGAGGGGACGCAGTAAATCCGCAGCCGTTTGGTGCAAGGAGACAGGGTTTCGGCCTCGTAGCTGAGGGTGAGGGCCTCGCAACGGGGAATTGCGATTGGTGTTTACGGCCTCGCTTTGCTGAGGGAGTGTAGCTCGGCCTCGCGGTGCCGCGTGCTTGCGACACCGCTGAGGGTAAGAGAGGAGGCCTCGGCCTCGCAGAGCTGAGGGTGGAACAAGGCGTCCTCATCCTCAAGGTGGGCCTTTAGCAATGAGGCAATGGAAGACGGATGCTACGATGAGAAGACAAGGGTCCCGATTGCCATCCTGGTTAAGGAATCGGCCGGACAAAGGCAAGGGCAAAAGCAAGAACAAGCAGAAGGATCCGCCCCGAGAACGTTCCCCGCTTCGACAGGCCAGACACCCGGAGCAGCCTTGGGATAGGGAAGAGGAGAGTGCTTCGGAATCTCCGGTGGGTCCGGTACGCCTACGGGAGAGAGGAGAAGACAGAGCGGCCTCGCACCAAGCTGAGGGTGTCAATACAGAGCAAGAGGCAGGCGAGCCTCGTACAGTCACGCTGGCGGAAGGGCCAGGTGCCCACAATATGGCCTCGCAGGAAGCTGAGGGAAAGGAGAAAAAGGAAGATATGGGGCAAGCCAAGCCTGTGCACCTTTTGGTGCACAAACTGCAGAACCAGCAAAGGCCAAGGACAGCGCTCCATTGGCTTGGGGAGGTCCAATTGGTCCGCAACCCAACGACAGGGCAAAGCTTACAGCCTAGGGTGCTTCCCTTCATAGGTGCAGGGCGCACTCGACGAGGATATGCTCTGGATCGGCTATGGGTCATGAAACTGGCGATGGAACCCCAGAGCTTTGGCAACGAAGCAGGGTATGGGGAACAATTCCCCACCCTGGTCACCAGGACCCTGTGGGCAGGATGGATTGGAGTCCTTTTCGACGAAGCGGTGGAGGGTTACTGCCACCACTACTTCTATGGAAGTATCATCCGCAGGGCAGAGCTGTTCAACACATGGTGGCAGGAACATCGCCATGAGGCCGGGATCCTCAGACAGTCCCTGTTTTACCTGGTGGCTATAACGTCATGGCTGACCATGCAAGGAGTTGCTCTATCGGATGTCACGGTGAGCAACGTTGGGCGCGACCCAATGTCAGGATCGTTACCACGGGCAGTGTTCTTTGACACGGCGGAGTGGACGACGCTGCAGGAGGATAGATACAAGCTATCAGGCGGCCTTGTACGCCTCCTGGAGAAGTATGATGAGGAGCTACTGGCAACCATACGTGGATTGGTCAGAACGTACGACGGCAAGGCCAGCGCGCTTTGGATGGCGTGCGTAGGCAATGTCGGGCCATTTGCCCAGCACCTGCTGGATGCCGGGATTGCAAAACGAGGATGGGATGGAACCCTACTTTCGATTCCGGCAACAGAGATCCAGAAAATCACGCTGGGCATGCCACATGACGAAGCTGATGAGTGAGCAGAGTAGCCCAGACAAGAAACACGGCTAGTGGTCTGAGAAGCACCAACCGACTCAAGAAATACCGCCTCGGCGTGCTGCCTGAGGAAGTTTCGGCCTCGACTCTGGTCTGAGGGGTGCAAATGAAGGAAGTTCGGCCTCGGCAAGTCCTGAGGGAATTTCGGCCTCGACCACGGTCTGAGGGCATGGATTTCGGCCTCGACAAATGTCTGAGGGAAGTGAGGGCTAGTACCGGTAGTCTCACTGTGCAGAGTTTGTAGTTTGTATGTTTCACCCTCTAACCTCAGCCCCTTCGGGTGGCTACGCCACGTAGCGTGCAGACGTAAAATTCACCTGGCTCAAGGTTTCGGCTCAACCCCGGTGGGGTGCTCAGGTAGGGAGTGCTGTTGCCTGGAGACTGTACCTAAGGGTGGGCTCCAACAGGACTCAAACCGAAACCACTGTGTTTGCTTGGTAGTCGGCTGCCAGCAACATAGCTGCCTGAGTACGGCCTCGCCAAGTGCTGAGGGAACTTTTTGGCCTCGCATCGGCAGAGGGTGTGTTTTCGGCCTCGCTTCGGCAGAGGGAGGGGCAAGTTTCGGCCTCGCTCCGGCTGAGGACACATAAAGTTCGGCCTCACTACGGTTGAGGGGATCTTCAGGCCTCGCATTGCTGAGGTGCTGGTGGGACTGGCATCAGGCTGCAGCAGTCATGGGGAAGCATTGTACTGTGTGTGCCCACGGGGAGGTGGGTTGGGTCTGGAATGAAGACTTGTACTACAACCCGAACTGCTGGCATTGCGGAAAGGCGTGGAAAAAGGCCACCTACCGTGAGCGAGCATGGTCAAGCCAGCGTAAGAAGTGGCAATGGCCAAAGGACGACGCTACATGGTGGACAAGACAGGCCAAGAACAAAGAAGGGATGGCCGACCAAGCCCTCACGAAGGCGTGGGGTACGCTTTCTATGGAGGCAAAGAAGGCCATCGAAGAAGCAGGATGGAAGCCGCGGACGATGGAGCCGGGGCCCATTTGGCCCCCGGGACTACCAGGCAGTGGATCGCAAACCGAAAGCATGACGCAAAAGGAGTACCACGAGGCCATTGAAACGGTGTGGCAGGGAGCTGAGCCCGCAGTGCAAAGGCTGCTCAGAGCAGCGGGTATTCCCCCGCCAGGGGACTACAAGCCTGAGGACGAGACGCCAAAGCAGGAGCTCAGCCGCCATGTTGGTACATACAGAAGGACGACAAACAAGCTGAGATCACTCATTGAGAAGAAGGTCCGGCTTCAAGACAAAACGGAGAAGATCAAGAGTGAGTTCGAGCAGGCCATGAAGCAGCTTGCGCAAGTCAGCCAGGCCATCCAGGCCACGGAGCTGGAGGTAGCGGAAGCACAGAAGAAGGTACAAGCCTGTGTGAAAGATGAAGAGGACTCGCCATACAAGGACGTCGCGTCCTACCTGGAAAAGGAAGGGATCATCCTGTCCGAGGAGCAAGCGGAGGCGCTCAAAACGAGGATGGCGGTCAAGGTCGTGGAGACAGATTGGACGGGAGTCTTGGGACAAAGAGAGCCGGGCATGCCAGCCGAACTAGGCATCTATGGGCCGATGCGCATGTCTCGAGATGTGTCAGTCAGGGCAACGCCGACGGGGCGCGAACGCTCGCCGGCGCGTGCCCATGGCGAGTGAAACCTCAGGCTGGGACAGGAGCGGAGGGGCCGACACCTCAGGGCAGCTCCTGGTCCGAACAGCCAAAATATGAAGGCAAGACAAGTAGAGGAGTCTCAATGGGGAGACTCTGATATCTCTTTTGATGGTGGCCGGAAGCAGTGTTACGGGGACATTGTATGGTCACAGGCACATGGGGAAGGCAGTCAAGCTGTGTTTAGTACCCAGGTGCCTAGCACAAACAGCACAGTGGAAGACAGCCAAGAGAGCTGGAGTCCAGTTACGAGGGGTCCGGAGCCTGACCGAGCTGTGGACAGCAGTTGGGCGGTCACAGGGCCCAGATACTTCCATATAACAAGGGAAGACATCGAAGAGGAATGTGAGCATTCGGCCTCGCGAGAAGCTGAGGGAAGCCAAATACAGATGAGAGACCATGCAGCGGTTAGAGGGGAGAACATGAAGGCCTCGCAGGAAGCTGAGGAAACACGATTCTCGGCCTCGCCGTGTGCTGAGGGTCGCAGAGGAAAACAAAAGCCCAAGAAGCGGAAAGCAAAACCCACGGAACCACCAAAAGATCTGCCACAGGAGTGGCAAACGCTATGCCAAGTGGTGGGTAGATATGATGCTTCCAGTGAGGCTGCTGCACTCGAAGCCATTGAGAAGCTGGAAGAGCAGGAACTCAACCCGCTACAACAACGAGCATGCCACGAAGTGCTTCGTTCCTTTGTGGAGCAGGACGCACAATATGCCAAATGGATCTTGGCAGATGTGGCAAGTGGGTATCGCCAAGATGATAAGGCCGAATGCATCAAAATCACAGCGGCTAACATCACCAGCTGGAGGAAACCCATAGCGGCATGGATACACGAACTAGGACCGGACCTGGTGGTGCTGCAGGAAACCCATCTCAAGACGGAGGGTATCCAGCAAGCCATGAGCCATTGCCAAGATATGGGATACACCTTCATTGGCATGCCAGGCAGTACAAAAATTAAGGGTGTACAAGGAGGCCTGGCAGTGGTGGCACCCCGACATAGGAACCTGCGATACCTTACCGAGTATGGGTCAGGACCGGCGGGCTTCCTGGCATGTGCCATGAGAAACAAAGGCTGGGATTTGATCATCGTCAGTCTGTATTTGGAGAGCGGGGTCGGATTCCAGGCTCCAAACAATATCCAAGTACTGGCGAGACTGATAGCCTTTCTCAAGGGCTGCAAAGTGCCATATATGGTGCTGGGTGATTGGAATGAAGCCCAGGATACCATGAGGGGCACAACTCTGGCGACAGAAGTTGGTGGTGCATTTGTTGGAGTGGGGGAACCAACGGCCCAAGGATCGGACGAAATCGATTACGGGCTGGTTGCGAAATGCTTGGTGCCCATCCTGCAAGTGAAAACGGATTGGGAAACCCCTTTTCGGCCTCATGCTGCGATGCATTGGAGGGTAGCCCAACCGTGCAGTAGCCCTGATGTTCCCCAGATGAAGAAGGCGGGAGCACTGGTGACGGAGACTGTGGAATACGAACCAGTTCAAAACACACAGAGCATCAACATCCTGGATGAACCCAAGATGGAAGATGAGCTCAGTGAGACATTCGCTCACCTGAGTGCCGGTGTGGAGCGGTCGATCACAGGCCGAATCGAAGGTATGGGTGTTAAATCGGAGATTGTCCGGAAGAAGTTGGTGGTCAACAACCCGGAGAACGTTGTCTGGACAGGCAAGAGGGCGGCCTTTTGGAACCGGGTCCAACAATGGGTCAAACAAGGCAGACATCATGGCGATGCGCATCCGGTGGCGCGTCTGGTCCAACGCAGGCTCGGCGAGTATTACGAGGGTGATGCGCAGAACCAGGAGGATATGCTCGTGAGTATCCTGGGCCGGGGTACGGACGCTAGACTTGTTCTGAAGCGCATCGACGAACAGCAATGCTACGCGAGAAAGGCGGATATGGAGGAGACAGCCCACCAGTACAAGCAATGGCTCAGCAAGGCCATGGAAAAGGGCATGCGACCATTATACAATGCCTTGCGAAAAGAAGAACAAGTGGTACAAAGACCCTACATGGAATATGACATGCTGGAACGGCCACACATTCGCCGAGACCACTGGGCGGCAGTGTGGACGACGGGCCAGCCGTTGGCAAAATCGGCCTCGCTCATGACGGAGCTTGAGGATGCAGCCAAAAAACAAGCGGCCAGCGTGGAGCCGCTGAACCCTGTCGAGGTCAAGGCAAGGATCAAAAAACTGGCACTAAAGAGCCCGGGGCCGGATGGCTGGAGGATTGACCATTTGCAGGCCATGGACGACAAAGCAGTTGAAGCCGTTGTGTCCTTCTACCATGAATGTGAGGCCAAGGCAGCATGGCCGCAGCAAATGACAGTCTCCCTTATAGCAATGCTGCCGAAGAATCTGACCCGGGAAAGACCAATCGCCTTGCTACACATCCTGTACAGGACCTGGGTCCGTTTGCGATGGGATTTGGTAAGTACTTGGCAGGCAGGCTATGCCCAAACTGCCACGTACGACAAGGCAGTCCCAGGCAGTTGCTGCTTGGACGTGGCCGTAGGCAGACTACTGCGAAATGAGGTGGCGAAGACAAATGGTGTGCATGTGGTGTCACTCTTTGTGGACCTCGAGTCCTTTTTCGATACCATCCAATTTCAGCAATTGATCACGGCAGCAACGGCCCTGCAATATCCACCGCTAATCCTGAAGATGGCACTGGAAGTGTACATGGGTGCCAGATATTTGGTGGCGGATGGGGTGCTGTCGGCAGGCATCAGAGCTACGAATGGCGTGCAAGCAGGGTGTCCAGCTGCGCCATCGTTGGCAAAGGTGGCATTGCACCCGGTGATAGATAAGATCCAAAGGCGACGAGATGTGGCAAACGTGGATTGTTGGTTGGATGATGTCTCAATTGACATCCAGCATAAGTCCTTTAAACAAGTGGCGGATAGTGCGATACGAGTCTACCGCAGCTTAAAGGACGGGATGGACGCTAATGGTTTCACGATTTCATCCAAGAAGACAGGGTTTGTGGCCAGCAGTACCCAGGCGAGCAAGCACCTGCGAGAACTCCTGTTGCCTCATGAGCCACAGGTGTACGACGTGATGCGTGACTTGGGCGTCGACAGTACAGGGGGGCGAAAGCGTCGCTTGGTGACGTCGGCAACGCGGGCCAAGAAAGCCCATGCGAGACATAGCAAACTGTCCAGGCTGGGGCCGCCGCCCAGCACTAAACTCCGCGTGGTCAAGGCAGCGATCACATCCGTTGCTTTGTGGGGGCACCCCTCTGTGGGGGTATCACCCAAAAGAATGAAATGGCTCCGAACAGTGGTAGGAAAACACCTGGGTAAATACAAGCTTGGGAGTTTGGAAACCATCTTGGACATGGGAGCCAAGAAATGCCAGGATCCAAAGCGCACAATCCACAAGCAGCATTTCAAGGTGGTGGCCAAAGTTTTCCGTGCATGGATTGGTGGCGGAAAAGCCCACTTTGACTTGGCCTGGAAAACCACTTGGAAGAGGTTGAGTGCGGCCAAACACCACTGGCCACTGGTCACGGGACCGATGGCAGCAACCATGGCGTACTTAATGGATCTGAAGGTGGATGCCAGTGACCCAGGCAAATGGAAGAAAGGAAGTGTCCTCAACGTTGATTGGACCCAGCCACGCATGGGTAGCCTCGCCTACAAATGGCTTGAGGGATTCCTGGAGGAACAGAAACGGGCTGCAATAGCGCGACAGGCAGGTGGCGCTGGTGCCCAAGAGGGGCTGGATTGGACGCCGCATCACAAGCTGACGAAGCTGGGAGGCCTAAGCCCAGGCCTTATGGAAGGTATAAAGTCAGTGTGGCACGCGGGCGTCATCACGGAGTCCAAGCCAGGATGGTGCAAGAAGTGCCAAATGCCAGCAACTCTGGAGCATGTCCTCAAGGAATGTCCTTACTGGCGTGAACAAGGGTTCAAAGAACCCAAGCTCCAGGAATACTTGCGTCACAAATACCCATGGGAGTGTCTGTGGACAAGGGCACTCCTGCCAAAGCCGGCGGTGTGGCACCCGAAGCCGCCGGAACACCTTTTAGGTCTGCGCTACCAAGGATGCTTCGCAGCTGATGCAAAAGTGGAAGCGGAAGGCTTGATCTTCGCCACTGACGCAAGTGGAGGTCCAGGAGGAATAGACCCACGTGTACAAACATCAGCCCTCGCAGTGGTGGCTATGTCCTGGACAAAAGGTGTCCTGGTGGAAGTCGGACGGATTACAGAGCTGGTCTACCCGTGGCAGCCGGTGGTGGACATGGAGCGCCGTGCACTTTTCCGACTAATGGAGCACACGGAGGATCTGATTGATGTCACTATGGATTGCAAGCCGGCAGTCCAAGTGCTACAAAAAATACAACCGCCGGAGGATGACCTGGAATGGAGCAAAGTGTGGAATGACAGGAAACGTATCAAGGCAACATGGGTCCCGTCCCACAAAACTGAAGAGGAATTCCTGGCGAAGATGGGGCCGGGTACGTTGTGGCGACGTGCAGCGAATGACATGGCAGACAAAGTATGTGGAGCAGTGGCGGCGGCTGCTTACAGCCCAGCGCACAAGAGGCGTGTCAAAGAATTGGACAATGTGGTGCGCACACTTTCCCTGGCGTACGGTGCACGCGCAGCCCACATATTGCGGAAGCGCAAAGAAGAAGACTTCCCCTTCATCCTGGACCATGCGCATTACAAAGAGAAGATGGAAGCCTCGCAGAAAGCTGAGGGATGCAAAAAAGAGCAGGGCAGCGCCAAACTCAACAAACGCCAGCGGCTTTGGCAGTTGCTTAAAAACCCGGAGCGCGGGCATCAATGGGAGAAGGGCAGCGAACACCCCCGGAATTTAACACTGAAATGTCAACTGTGCGGGTTGTATGTACAACAAACCCTCACGAACTTGGAGGTGGTCTTGGAGCAGTACTGCGTCAACCAGCCGGAGGCGCGAGTGCGTGAAGAGTGGGGTATCCACCCCTCCCATAATATGGTGAATTTGGGAATCCGTTGGGTTTGCACAAAGTGTGACAGAACACATGCACCGGTCAGCCAGAAGTGCAATAAAAGCCTGGCGGGTGAGTGCAAATCGCGGACTTCTCAAGGCAAGCTGGCTACCCAAGCGCAAACCCTTGTCAATGGTGGAAGTATGAGCAGCGTCCAGTTTCAACAGCCTCGCGTTCAGTTTGGTGGGAAACACGCCAAAGCTAAGCCCCAAGCCAGCGCACAGCAGAAGATGTCATTGTTTGTTAGGCCTCGCCAAGCTGAGGGAACGCAGTAATTCCGCAGCCGTTTGGTGCAAGGAGACAGGGTTTTTCGGCCTCGTAGCTGAGGGTGAGGGCCTCGCAACGGGGAATTGCGATTGGTGTTTACGGCCTCGCTTTGCTGAGGGAGTGCAATTCGGCCTCGCGGTGCCGCGTGCTTGCGACATCGCTGAGGGTAAAGAGAGGAGGCCTCGGCCTCGCAGAGCTGAGGGTGAAACAACGGCGTCCTCATCCTCAAAAGACCGGCCGGACGAGCAGCCGGAGAAATTGACCCTCCAGGTGCGAATCAAATTGGAGGATTCGTGGAAACCAATTTTGGAGGAGCAGTTCCTGGAAACAGACCCCAAGAGGGCAAACTACACTCACCTAAAAGCGGCGTGTCGCAGTCTCGCTCGCTGCAGCACAAGGAACGATTGGGTCTACCAAGCGGAGACCTACCTCAGTGAAGAGCGGAAGCAACTGTGGGCTTCTAAATTGCACAAGGCGGGCCTGTAGCAATGAGGCAATGGAAGACGGATGCTACGATGAGAAGACAAGGGTCGACTGCCATCCTGGTTAAGGAATCGGCCGGACAAAGGCAAGGGCAAAAGCAAGAACAAGCAGAAGGATCAGCCCCGTGAACGTTCCCCGCTTCGACAGGCCAGACACCCGGAGCAGCCTTGGGATAGTGAAGAGGAGAGAGCTTCGGAATCTCCGGTGGGTCCGGTACGCCTACGGGAGAGAGGAGAAGACAGTACGGCCTCGCATCAAGCTGAGGGTGTCAATGAAGAGCAAGAGGCAAGCCAGCCTCGTACAGTCACGCTGGCGGAAGGGCCAGGTGCCCACAATATGGCCTCGCAGGAAGCTGAGGGAAAGGAGAAAAAGGAAGCCATGGGGCAAGTCAAGCCTGTGCACCTTTTGGTGCATGGTGGCTATAACGTCATGGCTGACCATGCAAGGAGTTGCTCTATCGGATATCACGGTGAGCAACGTTGGGCGCGACCCAATGTCAGGATCGCTACCACGGGCAGTGTTCTTTGACACGGCGGAGTGGACGACGCTGCAGGAGGAGAGATACAAGATATCATGCGGCCTTGTACGCCTCCTGGAGAAATATGATGAGGAGCTACTGGCAACCATACGTGGATTGGTCAGAACGTACGACGGCAAGGCCAGCGCGCTTTGGATGGCGTGCGTAGGCAATGTCGGGCCATTTGCCCAGCACCTGCTGGATGCCGGGATTGCAAAACGAGGATGGGATGGAACCCTACTTTCGGTTCCGGCAACAGAGATCCAGAAAATCACGTTGGGCATGCCGTATGACGAAGCTGATGAGTGAGCAGCGCAGAACAGACAAGAAACATGGATAGTGGTCAGAGAGGCACCAACAAACCGAATCAAAATACCGCCTCGGCGTGCTGCCTGAGGAGTTTCGGCCTCGACTTCGGTCTGAGGGGTGCAAGAGAGGGAAGTTCGGCCTCGGCATGACCTGAGGGAATTTCGGCCTCGACCACGGTCTGAGGGAATGGATTTCGGCCTCGACAAATGTCTGAGGGAAGTGAGGGCTAGTACCGGTAGTCTCACTGTGCAGAGTTTGTAAGTTTCACCCTGATACCCCAGCCCCTTCGGGTGGCTACGCCAAGCAGCGTGCAGACGTAAAATTCACCTGGCCCGGGAGCAGGTCCGTTCCCTGCCCAAGCATTCTGCTAGCTCTGTCGCTAAGATATGTGCCGCCAGGAATCCCAAAAAAGGAGGCCCGGACGGCTGGGATTTCAATGATCTTCGAGACCTGCCTCGGGACGCGTATGCCGTCCTAGCCAACGTCTTCAACAAAATGGAGGAGGACCTTGCCATTCCCCTCCAAGTCTCCCAGGTCCAGATTGTTCTTCTGGCCAAGAGTGCCTTGAAGGAAAGACCTATCGGTCTTACATCGGTCCTGTGGCGGCTTTGGTGTAAGACTCGGCGGTTCTTGGTCAGCCAGTGGCTGGACTCCTACATCCCGGATCATCCTTTTGACTCGGCGATTCCAGGTCGAACCTCGTTGGACGTTGCCCTGGCCAGGAAATGCTCCAAAGAATCCGCCAGAGTCAAGGGTTTGCACACTGTCTCGTTGTTTGTTGACATTAATGGGTTTTACGACAGCGTCTCTTGGCAGCGGCTTTGCGAACAAGGCTTGCGGTTGTCTTTCCCAGCCTTGGCCCTGTGCCTTTCCCTTCGCCTCTACCAAGGAGGCCGCACGGTGGTGGGTGAATCCCAGCCCAGCCCCACTATTTTCCCAGGCCGGGGCATGATCCAGGGATGCCCGTACGCCCCCACCGTGGCCAAGCTCACCATGTCTGAACCCTTACACAGACTGAAACGAGTCACAGGCTTGCATCATTGCGACGTATGGTTGGATGATGTCTCTGCAGACTCCCTCCATGCCTCGCCAGATATAGCCGCGGGCGCGGCATATGAAGCCTTTCGAGTGCTCAAGGCCAGTCTTCAGGCTGAAGGTCTCGTCCTCAGCCAAGAGAAAACAAAATTTGTGGCCGGGACACCCCGCTCGGCCGCGGCGCTGCGACAGCTGCTGCGGCCGGGGGACCCTGACATAGTCGACGTGGTCAAGGATTTAGGCCTTGATAGTGGCAGTGGCCGCCGGCGCAGGACTACTACTGCCCAGAAACGCTTTCGGGTAGGTAGCCTTCGTAACCTGAAGTTGGGCAAGCTTCGTATCCCGGCACGCCGCGTCCGGCTACGGTTGCACCGTTCTAGTGTGGTCACCTCGGGTCTTTATGGCCATGAAGCACAAGGGGTTGCCCCTAAACATATGAAAACCATGCGCGCAGCGGTAGCCCGACACGCAGGCAGGAGCCGATATGGTTCCACGGATACCATCCTAGATATGACGGCCCATGAGGTTCAGGATCCCTACCTTATTGTGGTAACCCAGCACGTGGAAAGTCTTTTCAGGATGATGGCCAGATGTAACCGCATGGGATGGGAGGCAGTAAAGGACACTTGGCGGGTGGTCTGGAAGCGGCTGGAGGCTGCGAAGCACGGTTGGCCCGTGGTCACTGGACCCATCTCTGCCATGTGTCAATACCTCCGCGACCTCCAGGTCGACGGCCACGATCCTTCCCGCTGGGTTTTTGAGGAGCGTGTTCTCGAAATCAAGCCCTCTGAGGTTTCGGTTGTCTGTCAAACCTCGTCTTTCCTCACGGACATCATCAAGACCCAGAGGTCTCGTCGCATCGGATCGGCCTCGTCGGCAGCGGGTGCTGCGGGCGGGGTCGATTGGACGGTCCCGCGTCGCCTGCTCAAGTCAGTGCGCACCAAAACAACCCGGTACGCCTATCGGGCTGTTTTCCAAGGGTCCATTCTTCATAATGGCAATGGTGGCAAGGATATCTGTAAGTTTTGTGGCGATCCCGGGGCCACCCTGCGTCACCTCATGTATGAGTGCCCTTCCTTCCCTGGTGGCATGCGGTTACCGGGGTACGTTCTGGCGGAGAAGCGCCGTTTCCCTGATGACTGCCTGTGGCTTCGGGGTATGCTTCCCCTTAAATACCTCCCAGTCGCTCCCTCGGGGGACCTAGAAGTGGTCAAGACAGGCGTGTTTCTCACGTCCTCCCAGGTAGTAGCAGACGGGTTGGTGGTTGCTACGGACGCGTCAGGGGGAAAGTTCACCAAGGATCCGCGACTGCGAAGAGTGAGCTGGTCTGTCGTCGTGGGGCGGGTTCAAGATGGTCTGTTTCAGGAGTTAGGGACCATGTCCGGCCTCACCCCCCCCGGCACAAGCGTCGCGCACGGTGAATCTTATGCTATTGTGCAGACGATTAAACACACCCTTGGTCAGGTTGACCTCACGGGGGACTGTAAACCAGCCCTAAGGACCCTCACCAAAAAATCCTTTCAAAAAACAACCCCGGCTTTTTGGGGCCCGGTCTGGGAGGACCGTGGTAGGATAAGGCCCACTTGGGTAAAATCCCACCTAACTAGCCGTGAGTTCGAAATTAGGTTTGGCTTTTCCCAGCTTTGGAGACACCAGGCCAACCAGTGCGCCGACGAGTTGGCAGGCAAACGAGCTGCCACCATACCGCCTGTAGCAGGGCGGAAAGTCCAGGACCTGGATAGGCTCGTAACCAGGATCTGTGATTACCTGGCGTCGCGAGCTGTGGTTGTTTTGAAACATGCCTCAAAAGATGATTTTGTCCCCCGAAGCCAAAGGCAGGAACCCCAACCACCCAAAGGGCCTAACAAGCGCCAGCTTTTGTTGGCGAAAGTGGACGTCCCGGAAGCAGTAGGTGGCCATGTCTGGCAAGTAGGGGGGTTAAAAACAAATAATCTGTCAATCACTTGTGTGAAGTGTAAGCTTTACCTCCAGCAGGTTCATGAGATGGATAGGCTAGAACGTTTGCTTGCTCAGCCGTGCATTGACATGCCCCGCAATGGCCCCCAGTTCTGGCCTACCCTTCACCCGACGCACCGGCTCGAAAATGAGGGACGTAGATGGCTGTGCTCCGGGTGCCATCTTACCCTCCTTCCAGGCCACTCTCAGCCTTGTTTAGGTCTCCAGAAACCCTGTAAAAAACTTCACAACAACCAAACCCTGTCCTTTCATGCCCAGGCCTCTGTTTCCGGCCGGACTCTCCAGGTTCTTCTTCAACTCTGAAGGAAGCGGCTTCCCTTCCTAAGGCTGCAGAGTCGCACGTGTCTGAGGTCGGGTCTGGCAAAACAAAGGAAGTGGTTTCCCTTCCTGGGGCAAGTGCACGCGTAGCCGGGCTTGCAAGGGAGCCTGCCCCGAAGCCGGCCAGCCGTGGCAAAAAGAAGAAAGAGCTTCCCTCTGGTCAGCAGACCCTTTGCTTCAAGAAGCAGTGATGGGGGGCTCGCAGGGCAGGGGTCGTGGCCCCTTCTGGCGCGAGCAGCGCCAACGAATGGCAGAGGGGAAGTCGTGGCGCTCTACGGCGACCCTCCAGCATTCGAAGCGACGACCTCCACCCCACATCCGCAGGCAACAACGCATAGACCAGGGCCTTCCTGTAGGAGACGACCAGCAGGAAGGGGCACCCCTCCCTGAGGAGGCGGCACCTAAAGGTTCCAGCTCATCGGCCCAACCGGCGGCGAAGGCTTGGCCGCCTCCCCCCCCTCCGGCTCCTCGGCGCGACCGTCGGCGCTCTCCTTCTCCTCGTTTGGTCCTGCGCTCAGTGGACAGAAGCCCTACCCCTCCCACCCCTCCGCGAAGGAGGCGGCCTCAGGTAGCAGGGTCCGGTGTGGATTTGCGTTCGGTTCCGCGTGATTCAACCCGTTCCCCTCCACCTGGGAGGCGGTCAGAAAGGGCTACGTCCAGCCGTGACCTTCCCAACCAGCATGCACGGCCTAGATCCCCCTCGGAGTCCAGGGCCCGGGGGCCCCCTGCAGACCCGGCCCCTGAATCTGAGGAGTCCCCCTGGGCCGGCGGCAACGCATGCGTAGAGAAGCTCAGGACTTTACCCCGGGTGTGCACGCGGCTGGTGAAGCAGCAAGCTACATCAAGCGGCCCACCTCGCCTCGGCACTTCCTCCCTCCAGATCTCACACTTACGTGGGACCCGATTCGCCAGGTCGTGGTGGAAGCCCGAGTTCTCACGCGCCTGGGCTGGGGACAAAGCCGTGTAGGCTACCAGCTGTCTCAGGCGTTGGTCTTGAAGCTCACGGATGATGCATCCTTAAACGGTCCGGAGATTGATATGGCGCGGCGTTTTCCCCGGCTCATGGCTCCCATCCTTACCAGTGGCTCCATGTGGATTGGACTAGGGCCTGAAGGAGAGCCAGGTGCGGGCCTGCATCGTTTCCTGTACCACGTGCAAGAGCATCGCTGCCAGGCCCGTGAGTGGCTCCAGGAAAATGCTGCCAATGGTCTCCGTGTTCACTCCTACCTCCTGGCCACGTTGGCCACCTTGTTGCACTTGTATGCCTGTGGGGTTGATGCCAAGGATGTGGGCATTTCAAACCTGAGCCACAGGCCGCTGGGCACGAGGGTGGTTCCCCTTCCGGCCTTCATCGATGCCAACAACTGGGGCCCCTCCCAAGGGAGGCCGGAATGGACTGGCTTTTGGAGGGTAGTTGCCAAATACTGCCCAAATGATGTGGGCTACTTTCGGCAAGTTTCCAGGGGTCCACCTCAAGCGTGTTTTGACCAGATCTGCAACACCCTTGGACCTTTGGGGGAAGAAGTTCGCTGGCTATGCACTACCCCGGCCTAGGAGGCTGTGGAATCTGGGCTGCTTCTCTGGGGGCATCCTTTCCCAGCCTTAGGGCTGCGGTCGCAACCTCTTCCTGATGAGTAGCTGTAACATAGTTCCCTGTAGATGGCCTGTGGGTGCACCACATTCCCAGCTTGTAAGCTGTGGTTTTTGCCGTAGCAGGGTGACCGACTGCCCGAGAGACTGTGTCTCGCCCCAAAGGGGCTCCGGGCGAATTCGTTTTGCATGCAGGACACCCACTGGGTAACGCTCTCGCGCTTGCTGAAGTAAAATTCACCTGTAGTGTTTGCCCAGTTGGTGCCATGTGGTGTTTGACCATACAGAGAGAAGCATGAGAGTTTTTCTGCTGCATGACTTGGCGTGAGCATGTTTGGTTTGTCCCAAAGCCCTTAAGCGTGTGTGGCATGTCTTGCTTGACTTTGGCATGTTCTTGTCTTGTTGGCATGGCCTAGGATGAGTTTTGAAGCACTTGAAACTGCTTGAGAGCAGTAGTGAAGAAGTGCGTGTCAGAACTCTGAGGTTCTGTCTTGTTGCAACTCACTCCGTGTCCCCGCCACTTCGTTCGTTGCCGTTGGACGTGTAGGATGGGAGTAGGAGTGCAGAGTGGACTCTGAAGCTTCGCTGTTTTGCTGTTCGGAAGTGACCTGAAGTCCCCGAGGTGTAGACCAAAGCAGTTGCATTGCTCTTTTGCTTTACCTCCTTTGTAGAACAAAGTTGAGATGGAATTCGTAGCTTTTTGGAGCCCTTAGCTCTTGGAGAGAGCTTGCTGCAAGAACTGAAGCTTGCTGAACACTTTGGTGTTTGGCTCAAGTGCAAAGTGAAAAAGAGACTGCTGCGCAAGCTCTGCTTTTCACAGTTGCAAGTTGCCAGCCGCATGACGCTGCAATGCAGTCAGTCGGTGGTCGGCACTGCAGTCTTTCCTCCGTGCGTCCGCCCAACTAATTGCGCTCCTTCTTGTCTCTGCGCATGCCTGCGCCAGTTACACCCCTAAAGTGTTTGGATTGTTCTCGCGCCACCCTCAGAAGTTGGGTAGGAGCTATTTCGCAGAGTTCCGCAAGGGCGCATACGCACACGCTTGTTTGTGCCAGGGGATGCTTACGAGCATGTCTTTTTACGTGTTGCACTCCCCTGTGTATTCTTTTGTCATCGCTCCGCCCTTGGAAGACGGGAGGGTATCTGCGTGCTTGTGCCTTGCGCAGAAGCAAATTTTCAACGTTTGTCCTCTTCGAGGTTTCCAATTTTGTGTGTGGGGTCGAAGCGCGCCCGCTGCGGCGGCAGCGCTAACGCCTGGCGAAGCTCCAGCGCTGGGCATCCTCTGCTCAATGCTGGAACTTAGCCAAACTTTCACGCATAGTCTATGCTTGTCATGCACCTTTGTCATGCAACAGGACAGACCAAGTCTGGTCTTTTCTACCGGGCCTACACTGAAGCACCTCCTGATTAGGCCGCTACGCAGCAGGGCTGGAAGATGGTTGGAAACCTGCAGGTGAGTTAGCGTGCCAGAGCGGCCGGAGGACCGCACACTCATCAGTTAAAGCTACAAGCTCACTTACCCCTTGCCGATGTTGTGCTGACATTCGGGCATAAAATCCGAAAGAATGCCCAAATTCGCTTTGTTTCCCAGTATGAAAAGGTTATCACGCAAATTAAGGCACATCTGAATCTGTTGAACCATGTCGAGAATTTGGGCACCCCGGAGATGACATTGCTAGAGGCATGTAGAGAAGCCAATGACTGCCCTTCTGGCGATCGTGTTGGTGGGACTTGCTCGAATTCAACAAGGCTGGCTTTGCTAGGGCCACGGCATCGTATCTCCTTATCCATACGCCCATAATTAACCTCTGCATGCGCCGTTCCCGCTGCACACACTCCCAAGCTGCCAAGGCCTTGCGCTTGAAAGTTTGCAGAAGTCCATCATTGGCTATGGATTCTTAACAGCCGCCACTGTCCCTGGTATGGCCTGCTACTGTGACCCAGACTACTGGCTGGCAGGATTACTTAGACACGCGATGGACAGTGGAACAACGGCGGGACTTTCACAAAATTAATGCCTTCGTCCGTGCGCCAATCGTCACGCCTTGGTGCCTCTGGGATGGAACATATCTTAGATCGAACACTTCTGGGGGCAGCTACCCTTGATTGGCCTGACGTCGAGTCCACTGGCCATATTGCACGTAGGGTTCTCCCCCTTCAGTGTTTGGTAAAAGATGACCAAGTGCCAATCCCCACAGACACTAGCGCAGATGTAGTCAAGGTCGATAGGGACTCTTCAAGTAAGTCTCAGGGCCACACGCCCCGTCTGTTCCCGACTGGAGCGCCATGAACAAGTCTGGCCCTGGCAAAATCGCCATTCGAGTTTGTGAACTGCCATAGCCTAACAGAAGAGGAAGAAAGCCCTGCTTATAGGAACCTTGTTCCCAAGTTTTGACTTCTTTCACTGCCCACGAAGAGGAGCCAAGGGCAATCTGTGGCTCCGGGCGGCTATCCTCAAGGTTGGCCCGTTTCCATGCTGGCTTATGCACATATCTGCCGAGCAGCGCCCAAGCAAACACAAAGTCGGAGTGCCTGTTGGCATTCGTGCCAGAGGGAGTGTTTCAAAGGCACTGCAAATGGTGGATTCTGTCCAGTGTCACTTAACAGGCATGCTAGGCAATGGAGTGGGCACTCCACTAGGAAGGATGATTTGCGTAAACGCGCGGGCCACGCACGATGTCCACAGCTTCAACTGCAGTGTGTGGAATGCAGAAGGCAGGAGGTCGCGGGCACGATGCATCAGAAGCATTGGGTAGAAGATCACCAATCCCCCATTGGCTTTAAGCTGATCCTCCAACGCACAAACCACGCCGATGAAGTTAGGCGACGGGGCTCCAGACGGGATGTATCCATCCGGCGAACAGCTCCAAGGCGAGGATGGAAGCGAGCCACAGGGCTGTGTCTCGTCCATTTTACCTAAAGGCTCCACCAACAGGAAGTTTGGCAAGAGGCCCAGAACTGCAAAGCGTCGTAGCTCCTCGGCTTCCCATCTGGCGTGAAGAGGGTGTCATGATCCAGCAACATTAGAACAGCTCCTGGCCAGAACCTAAGAACAATTGCGACTGTCCGTGACCAAGAAGGACGTGGGCACCCGTGTGTTCAACGCTACGTAATCGACCGCTGGGTGCCACCTCTGCGGGTCCGGTGGCTTGCCAGTGACCGTACCCACGGCCGCCCGCAGAGGGAAGTTCTGATCAGTCTCCAAAGCCTGCGTAATGTCAGAGGCGTCTTGCTGCGCTGGCAGGCAGTCCGCGTTCCATGCGTGAAGCTGCCGTATAGCATCCCTGGCGGTCTTGGCAAGCGCAGCCAGGGCGGGATGTTAGCTTTGGCACGGAGGTGGCAACAATGATTGGGCACGGTGCTATTCTTTTTAGCACCTTGAAATATTTTCAGCTTGGCAGCTTACGGACAGTTGAGCCGCTCTGCTCTCGCAAGCAGTCTCTAAAGCGGTTTCCAAACCGATGCCATCATCCTTAAGTGAATGGCCTGTTTTCTTGATGAACGCATTGCTACCAATATTCTTGAGCATCTTAATGACAAGACAATGCATCTGCTTAAGAAGTGCCTAGAATAGTGACTCCGAACTGGGCTGCGTGGATGTTAAAAGCAAGTTGCTGCCTTATCAGTGCTTGCAACTCTTCTTGCCACACTGCTTGCAAGGGCTGCAGTGCGAACACCTAGCTTTTCACGCGCTGTGTTTTCGTTTTCTATTAATGGCTTTTAGGCAAGACTGGCAGGTAGCTGCTTCTTGCGCCATGGCAGTTTGAACCCCAAACTCTGAACATTTAAGGCCCTTCGGGCCCTTCGGACCCTTTGAGTGTGGGAGGAATGTCGCATTTGCTTCTCTTTGTCGCCTATTTGTTTCTGGATTTGGAGCCTTTGGACGAAGGCTCTTTATAGAGCCTGGAACATTTGAGGCTTTGGGTTCTGCTAACTTAGTCCACGTATTGCTAAGTCGGCCCTTTCGCGCTTTCTTGCTGAAAGACTCTGCAAGTCCGTGAGTCTGGAGTTTGTATGGTTTGGATTTTAGGGTTAATATGGCTTAGGGTGGCAGATGTCTTCATCTAGAACTGTGAGCCGCAAGCAGTTCACTCCTTTCTAAAACAAAATTCGCCGAACATTGGGATTAGCTACTGGTACTCTGTACATACCCTCGACTACCAACTTTCAAAACTCTTATTCAGGTCCAAGTTCATGTCGTCCACAAGGTCACGCAAGCCAAAGCGTGTGCTTCGACCGTCTGTAGTCTCGATGGTTCGGAGTGCAGATATCCTTTGAAGACAACATGACCGTGAAAGACTTGCGCAAGAGCGTCGCAAGAAGGATCGGCTTGCAGCCAGGTGGCATGCTTGTCTTGGTGGCTGGCGGCAACCAAAGCTTGGAGAATGTGGCCTTGCCTGGCAGCTTGCAAGAATGTGGCCTTGCCTTGGCAGCTTGCAGTCCTTGAGTGTTGGAGACGCTTTTGAACAGAGCTTGGATAATGTGGCCTCGCTTGGCAGCTTGCAGTCCTTCCTTGCTGCGTGGGCTTGCGTGCTTTGAAGCTATGGACTTATACGTTGTTGTTCACACGTCTGGTCTAAACCAGAACAGCGAGCCCTGAAGCGAAATCAATGCGAATGCCTTGAGTTTCTATTCGGGTTTAGGGTTAGGGTTTGGGGTTTGGGTTTCGGGTTTCGTTTCGGGTTTACAGTAGGGCTTTTGCGCTGGCTGAGAAGCACCCTGAATCCCAAACCGGCCCAAACCCTAAACACCTTCAAAGGGCTACGTATAGGCATCATCTGCAAAGAGCGAGTAGGTGAAGAGGACGCCTAAGGCCCCCAAAGCAATTCTAAGCCCCACTTTTGAACCCATAAGCAAAACCCAAGGTAGGGTTTAGGGTGTATTTGAGGGTAGCCCTGTGGTACCGCTTTTTGTTGCACGTTTTTTCTGTTCAAGGTTCCTTGTAGCCAAATCCAACAAGGGTACCCGTATTACGATATGCTTACTGGGCTACCAAGTATTTTGTAAGCCCGAATGCTAGACCATCAATCTCAACTTGCAATATGCCTGGCAGGTGGCCGTCCCTCATGGAGAGACTTGCGCCTTTGGCTGTCGGGGAATGAAACTGTGAGGCGAATGGAGGGGTGGGAGGGTTGGAAGTTGGTTTGAGGTTCGGGGTCTGCAGTTTTGGGTTTAAGGCTTTGACTCCTGGTACGGGGGGATTTGGATGGGGGCTCCGGATGCAGGACTTGGGGGGGGGGGACGGGGGTAGGCTAAACGCGAACCTCTTCTCATACGACCATGCGTAAGTGAGCCCTACCCCCCCCCCCCCCCCCCCCCCCCCAAAGAAAAAAAAGCCAACAACACGAAATCGACAAAAGCACCAATCCCTCAAGACCCGCCCAAAGCCCAAATCTACACCGGCACTTGACACTTCAAGTGCTGATTCCAAATATGCCTAAACCCTATAAACCCTCAACCCTCAACCCTCAACCCTCAACCCTAAACCCTAAACCCTAAACCCTAAACCCTAAACCCTAAACTAGCCATGAGCTGGAGGCGCGAGTGCGGCGCGTGGTTGGGACCAGGGCAGAGGCAGAAATTGCCAGCAAACTGCCAGGTGCCTTTGAGCAGCCCCTGCAGCCCAAGATCACCCTAAACCCCAAAACCCCAAATCCTACACCCTCAACCCCGCACCTCACACCCTAGCTCAAAGTGTAAGCAGGGCGTGGAAGGCTCGGTTGCTTGAGATTTCGATGCAATTCTTGGGGATGGGAACGGAAAATGTCTGTCCTACGAACCCAGGTAGGCGCCCTTTCTACTGTGAGCGCTTGAGGGGGCCCTTTGTGGAGACGTTTCCAAGTTTCAGATTTTTCGCCCATACAGATATTGGCCTTGAGCAAGCACACCTTCCAGGCCATGACAGGGGAGGGGGATGTAATGAAGCCGATGATGCTGGATGCTCATGTTGCCGGCGCCCAAGAAACACGATGCATTGCTTCTTCTAGAAATTGCCCCGGTATGTGTTTCCCGAGCCCAAACCCCGGATTAGGTTTTTATGTATATCGTTTTGAAAAGGGGGCCGGCCCGTGGAAGGGCGTCGGGTCCCAACAGGGGCTCACACCTGGGCCTGGGGTTCCCTCTAGCCCAGGCCATCATGTTGTACTTGTGTTTTGCCATCTCGTAACTTCATCCAGCGTCCTTCATCTACTTCGGCCTGGGCAGGGGGGGCTCTACTGTAACTAGATACAAAAAATTGTCCTCAACTCCTCAACTCAATGCCGTAATTCGTAACAGGTTATTTTGTCAAAAACGGGTGGGCACCCCCCCCGGCAAGCGGCACCGGGAGACCAAATCGCGGTCTTTAATACTCGTAGTCGGCATTGAGGACACCCGAATCCCAAATACCCTACGTAGAAAGTGTTCTGATGCTCATTTGCATCTCATTTGCTCAAGGGAGAACACATGACGACACGCCATGAGTGCTTGCAAAGGTATAGGCCCTTTTCATTTTGACGAGGCATCCAGGGAGCTTGCCCCTCCCTGCGCGAAAAGCGACAGCGAGCATGGCTCAGCTGCAGTACGGACTCCGCCGTCACCGCAATAACCCTAAGCTGCAGTACGGACTCTGGGCCTTTGCTTTTCGCCTTAGCCCACAAGATCCCCAGCTGTACGGACTCTAGGCCTTTGCTTCCTGCTGTCATCGAAAAATCCTTAGCTGCAGTATGCGGACTGTGCGCCTTTGCCTCCCGCCTCAGCTGCAGTACAGACACTGGCCTTTGCTTGTCGCCGTAGCCCAAAAATCCTCGGCTGCAGTACGGACTGTGCGCCTTCGCCTCCTGCCTCAGCCCACGAAATCCTCAGCAGCAGTACCCCGCCGTCACGAATCTTCACCTGCAGTACGGACTGTGCGCTTTTGCTGTTCGCCGTCACCCAGAAAAGTCCTCAGCTGCAGTACGGACTCTGCATGGGCTTCTGCTTCTCGCCGTCACCCAATCCTCAGCTGTAGTACGGACTCTGGGCCTTTGCTTGCCGCCTTAGACCACAACGTCCTCAGTTGCAGCACGGACACCTAAATGCCAAACCCGCAAACACATCACTCTGAATGAGGATTTATCCATCGGTAATTGTGGATCCTGCGGTTTGTGTGGATTACATCAAACAAGTGCTGAACGTTATTATACATGTACACCAAAGCCCTCCTGGGAATAGCGGTAGCGGGACCCCGACCCGGGTTGGGGTTGAGGTTTAGGGTTTTGGGCCGAGGGTTTACAGCTTTGGGGGGGATAAGCCTTGAGAACCGTAAACCCCAGAACACAAGGAGTCCTACATCCTTAGCCATCCTAAAGGATTATTGCCTAAGACCCTGAAAGCCCTAAACCCCCAAGCCCTCAACCCAGAAGTCCTAACATACCTAAAAGCCCTAAAACCCGAAAGCCCTAAACCCCCAAGCCCTAAACTCAGAAATCCTAAGGGCCTGAACACTTTAAACCCTACAGGCCCTGAAACGCCAAGCCCGACCTCCAAGCGGCGCTACCACAGGCGCGGAAAGCCGACTCGGGGCACGTTGACCCAGGCAACGCCTGGCAGTTCGCGTTTTCTGTGGTTTAGGGTTAGAAGGGTTTATGGTTTAGGGTTTCGGGTTTAGGGTGATAACGGTTTAGGGTTTAGGGTTGGGGTTCAGGAGTTAGGTTCGGTTTGGTTGACGCTTGAAGGTTTACCGGCTGAGTCGGGCCCTCCAAGATGTCCAGCCCTCCGAAGCTCCCGTAAACCCTAAACCCTAAACCCTAAACCCTAAACCCTAAACCCTAAACCCTAAACCCTAAACCCTAAACCCTAAACCCTAAACCCTAAACCCTAAACCCTAACCCTAAACCCCCTAAACCCTAAACCCTAAAAACCCTAAACCCGAAACCCTAAACCCTAAACCCTAAACCCTAAACCCTAAACCCTAAACCCTAAACCCTAAACCCTAAACCCTAAACCCTAACCCTTAAACCCTAAACCCTAAACCCTAAACCCTAAACCCTAAACCCTAAACCCTAAACCCTAAACCCTAAACCCTAAACCCTAAACCCTAACCCCTAACCCTAAACCCTAAACCCTAAGCCCTAAGCCCAAAACCCCAGGCGCTTGCGAAATCAAACGTTTGATGGCTGGCAAGAAGGGAGGCCCTTTAGGAAATACTTATCTTCAGAGGGTTTGAGGGGCCATCCTAGGTTAGCATGTAGTCATGACGATGACTTTGTGGTGCTTTACTGTAACTTTAGATCTTTAGCTTTTTTGGGTTTATTGGGTTTCTTAATCAGGCAGCTAAACGTTTAATTTTTTACTACCCTCCTAAGTGCAGCCAAAATGAGTACAGAAAACAGAATGTCTGTCTGGTACCGGGCCCCCCCCCCCCCCCAACAAGTCTTCTCGTCTCTCTCCGCGCATGTCGGCTTTCTCAAACAGGACAAATGTTCACTGTTGCTGCGGCCGATGAAGTATGCAAAGGCCACTGGAAAGGCCGGGGGACTCCGAACTCAGCTTTGGAGTGGGATTGCGCAGGGTTTCCTCTCTTAATGCTTGGACAGCAACGCGAGGGGTTTGTCTGAATGTCCATAGCCGCTTGGCCCAGAAGCACGAAGCTTGCACCAGCGGAACAAGATGGCGAGCCAGCTCAGCTCCATAGTGGAGAGCGGCCAGCACGCATGCTACGGCATCGAGTGGCAGCTTACTGACGGAGTTCTCGTGGCGAAAGAAGTCTACAACCCTTCCTGGCGCATCGAGTATGCGGCCCGTGCTGGTCTCAAGAGCCTTTTCACCACCGAGTCGACCCGTCACACCTTTACACCTGGTGAGGGTCTTGTGGGCCAAGTCTTTCTTCAGCAGCAGCCGACCTTTGCAAAAGACCTCCAGCAGCTTACTGAGGAAGAAAACCGTGCCGCAATGTTCGGTGGTGCCGCCTTCGTTTACAAGCGCACCGCTCTGGCGGCTGAGTATGGCATCCACTCCTGCCTCTTCGTCCCCACGAAGAGTGGCGTCCTCGAGGTCGGCGCCATGCTCGTTGTGTCCCCTGATGACCTGATTGCGCCGGCCTTGGTGAAGGCCATCCAAGAGGGCGGCCCGATCCCAGAGGTGAAGCCGGCTCCCGTGAAGCTCGCGCCCTGTGCTCCGTGGCTGCAGAAGATCGCCGAGAGCTGCCCTGAGCTGTGCTATGCAATCGAGTGGACCATGAGCGCCGGCACGCTGCAGGTGAACGAGAGCTACAATCCAGCATGGCGCGTCCAGTATGCAGCTCAGGCGGGCTTGCCAGGTTTGTACACCAGCTCCTCCAGGGCTTTGACCTTCCAGCCAGGCGAGGGAGTTGTCGGCCAGGTGTTCCAGGCTCAGAAGGAGCTCTTCATCCAGGACGCGCAGGAGATAACCGAGGAAGGCGTCCGCGATGATATGTTCAGCGGCAACCAGGTGCACTTCCTGCGCGCGGACATGGCGAAGACCTTCAACATCCGCTCCGCCGCCTTCGTGCCCCTCAAATCCGGGGTCTTGGAGCTTGGGTCGATGAAGCAGCTCAAGAGCATGGCAGCGCTGCTCACAGACTCGACCATGAAAGCCATCGAAGAGGCCCCATGCGCCCTTGCCAAGTGACGGCCCAGGTTTTGATTATGGACGCAGCTTTGGACGGATGGAGTCCTCTGTAGCTGCCCGTGCCGTCCCAGCATAAAATACATGTAACGGGACGCCTCTATGCACGGTAACGGCGAAGTTGCCATGTAGAGTCGCGGGAAACCCGCGGCTAATTTGAAGTCTGATTATGTGCCTGAACGAGCACCCCAAACGTGGAAGTCCGCAAAACATCCTGTGTTTTTTTGCGTTAGGACATTCCAGACCCTGCGATGATGCATGGTTACGATGTTGTTCTGTTCACATTCGATCCAGATTGTCTATAGCCATCCTCACTGGCATGGCATGTGCAAATACGCGCAACGCTTTGTAATTGAAGTTGGTAACTCTTCGAAGCCTTTGTGCGCTGTTCTCTCTGCCACGATCGGGGCAGTCTCGCCGCCACTGGCTGCCGTGCTCAGCCATTTCGGCTAAGCGATCGTCGGAGACTTATATAAGCTTCGGAGGCCACCCATATCCCGCAGTTGCAGGCCGCGCACGCCGTGCCATGTCGCAGCCCGTCAACTTCAGCGATGGAGCAAAGGAGATTGTCGGAGACTGGTTCGTCAAGAACGTGAAAAACGCAGTGCAACTGAAGATGGAGGGCGACGAGGTGCGTTCCGTCCAATCCTGCTTCGGCGGCCAGCCGGTTGTCGGGAAAGTGCGACAGGGCTCTCACTTCGAGATGGACATCCAGATGGGCGGCTTCCCCATGATCGCAAGAATGACGTCCCGTAGCGACCAGCAGAAGTACCTGGAGTTCTCGAACGGTGGCCTTTGGTCCAAGAACCAGCCGGCCTTCGAGCCCTTGCAAGCTCAAACCGTCAACGGAAAAGTCAACGGCCACGTGAACGGCGTGCAGGATGGCATCCTCGGCATCCCCATGAGCGAGGTGAAGAAGCACAACAGCAAAGAGTCTGCCTGGGTGGTCCTCCACGGGTACATCTACGACCTCACCAAGTTCCTTGCAGACCATCCCGGAGGTGACCAGGTGATTCTGGACTGGGCCGGCAGGGACGCCACCAAGTTCTGGTCTGCGATCCACAAGAAGGACTGGATCAAGGAGTACACGAAGCCGGAGTGGTGCCTGGGGCCTGTTGGCAAGGAGGCGCCCAATGAGGAGTTGAGGAAAGCCCAGGACGAGATCAAGGCTTTGAAAGCAGAGCTTGAGCGCCTCACTGCCTTGCCAACGAAGCCCTCGGCCGGCCTCGTGGCCGCGTTGGATGCTGCAGGCGCCTGCAAACCTGGCGCTGCGCCGAGCTCGGATGCACCCACGCATGTGGCCGCGGACTGCCCCTGGGTGGAGCTCACGGGGAGGCGAGTGCTGGTGGTCGGCCACGGGCCGGTGGGACACGACTTCGCTCCTGGACCTGCACGGATTTTCGCACAGTTTCGCTCATGTTCACTTTTCCCCCCCCACCCCATGACCACGCACATGAACACGCCTAGGTCGTGAAGCTGGTTGGCATGGTGGGCGACGGTGCGCTGGACATCACCGTGGTCGGGGAGGAGCCGCGGATGGCCTACGATCGCGTGCACCTCACGGAGTACTTCGAGCACCGCGACCCCGCCAAGTTGGCCATCTGTGACAAGAAATGGTTCCAGGACCACAAGGTGGGGGCAGTGGGGGCACCAGGGTTTATTTTGGGCTTTAGGGCACTTTAGGGTTAAATAGGGTTTGAGGATGGGTTTGTCTCGCAGGCTTGCGTCTCGCATGCGTGTGGGAGGGGGCGTCCATCTTGTCTTAAGTCACATGTCTTACATGTTTTTTGCTTTCCCCCCAAGGTCGCCATCCGCACCAACTGCCGCGCCGAGAAGATCGACCGCGAAAGCTGCAAGGTTTCGCTGCGAGACGTGAACACAAATGCCGTGGAAGAGATGGCGTACGACGCATGCGTTCTTTGCACTGGCTCATATCCCTTCGTGCCTCCTTTGGAGAACTTGAGTGAGAAGACGGTGGGTGTCTTCGTCTACCGCACCATTGAGGACCTCGAAGGCATGATCTTGTTTGCCAAGAAGTCCCGCAAGGCAGCTGTGATCGGTGGCGGGCTCCTGGGCCTAGAGGCCGCAAAAGCCGTCTACGACTTGAACCAGGAGACGCACGTGCTCGAGATGGCCCCATACCTCATGCCGACGCAGCTTGATGCTCAGGGCGGCAAGGTCTTAGGAGAGAAGATCAAAGACATGGACATCCGTGTCCACACGGGTGCCCGCCTGAACAAGGTGGTGGTCGAGGATGGGGTGCTCAAGGGTATCCGCATGACCGACGCAGACAATGCCGAGGAGTACCTGCTGGAGTTCGACATGTTGGTGGTGAGCGCCGGCATCCGTCCACGCGACGAGCTGGCGCGCTCGAGCGGGCTGTCCATCGGCCAGCGTGGAGGCGTCGTGGTGAATGATCGCATGCAGACCAGCGACCCAAAGGTCTTTGCCCTGGGCGAGGTGGCCTGTCACAAGAACCTTTGCTACGGGCTCATCGCCCCTGGCTGGGACCAGGCCTCCGTCCTGGCCAAGAACATGGAGTTCGCGACCTGGGAGATGAAGTCCAAGAACGAGAAGGCTGCCGAGCCACCGCTCTACACGGGTAGCGACCTCTCCACGAAGCTGAAGCTCTTGGGCGTGGATGTGGCGTCCTTCGGCAGCTCCCTCGACTTCTGGTTTAAGAAGCAGTGCCATGACAAGGAGGCCAAGGAGCAGGGCTTGACTTCCACGATGCAGCTGGATCCCTTCAGCGGCTTATACCGGAAGCTGGTCTTCCACGAGGAGACCCAGAAACTGATGGGGGGCCTCCTGGTGGGCAACGCGGACGACTACTTCAGCTTGCTGGGCCTCTCCAAGCAGGAGGACTTGGGCAAGAAGGCTCCGGTGGATCTCTTCTTGGGCGGCAACTCGGAGGAGAGCGTGGATGACTTGAAGGACGACGCCATCGTCTGCCTCTGCCAGAAGGTCACCAAGAAGGACATCGTCGACGCCGTCAAGGAGCAGGATTGCATGACGATCCCAGACATCAAGCGATGCACCACGGCGGGGGCAGGCTGTGGTGGCTGCATACTTTCCACGGGCTTCGTGCCGAAGATCCTCAAGACCACCTTGGAGGCTTGCGGCAAGAAGGCCTTCACCGGGATCAGCCCGAACTTCCCCTTCACGCGCAGGGAGCTCTTCGACATCATCAAGACGAAGGAGCTGAAGACCTGGGAGGAGGTGGTGGAGACCTGCGCACGGGTCGGCAAGATCGCCGACTTGCAGAAGGGCCTGGGAGGCGACGAGGTCTGCAAGCCCGTCGTGGCTTCGATCTTGGCGTCCTTGTGGCAGGAGAACCCGGTGAAGGACGGCTTGAACATGTTGCAGGACACCAACGACCGGTTCCTGGCCAACATCCAGCGCTCCGGCCAGTACTCGGTGATCCCGCGTGTCCCAGGGGGTGAGCTGACGCCCGACGAGCTGATCCTCATGGGCACCGTGGCCAAGAAGTACAACCTGTGGACCAAGGTCACCGGAGCACAGCGCATCGGCCTCTTTGGCGCCAACGTTTGGCAGCTGCCGGACATCTGGGAGGAGCTCTGCTACGGAAAGACCTCCTACGCCTCTGCGGATGGCAAGGTCATGGCCAAGGTGGAAACCGAAGGCATGGAGTCCGGGCACGCCTACGGCAAGGCCCTGCGCGCGGTGAAGAGCTGCGTCGGGACGAGCTGGTGCCGCTTCGGCGTGCAAGACTCCGTGGGCATGGCCAACCGCATCGAGCAGCGCTACAAGGGCTTCCGTGCTCCGCACAAGTGGAAGATGGGCGTCTCGGGCTGCATGCGCGAGTGCGCCGAGGCCCAGGGCAAGGACATCGGGCTCGTTGCCACCAGCAACGGCTGGAACCTCTACATCTGCGGCAACCACGGAACCTCTCCCAAGCATGCCACGCTCTTCATGACGGACATCTCTGACGAGGAGGCCATCAAGTACATCGACCGGGTGATGATGTACTACACCTTCACATCCGACCCACTCACAAGGACGTCCAAGTGGCTTGAGAACTTGGAGGGCGGCATCGAGTTCCTCAGGGAGGTGGTCGTCGACGACAAGCTGGGCGCCTGAGTCCGCGTTTGAGCCCACAGGTTGATGCAGTTTCATTCCCCCTCTGTGGGGTTCTTGTTGTTCTTGCCGTGCCCAATCCCCCCGTCCCGCCGCCACACGTACACGCACACGCACACGCACACGCACACGCACACGCATCCTCACACGAAGACACACGTACACATAGAGCACACATAGCACATAGTTGCATAGTTGGCTCTTTGGGCTGGTCTGATTGTTTATGCAAACCCTGGTTTTTGGCTCGAGAAAGGGGTTTGGTCCAGAAGCCTCTTCTGGCCCAAACCCCCTTTCTCGAGCCGAAAACCTGGGTTTGGGCCAGATGGAGCTACATGCAAACCCACCCCCACCCCCACACCCCCGCACGCACGCACACACGCAAGCCAAGACTGGTGGGTTTAGCCGGTCCTTCGTTTTCGTTTGCGTGGGCTCTTAAGAGCCCATATATGATGTGCGTGTAGACTCCCACATCTCTGTAGAAACACCCAGGAATAAATTCCCCAGCCTCTATGGAGAGTAACACCCAGCTTATAAGGCATCTGTGCGGAGCTGGACGCGCGCATGGAGTCCCAGGTCGGCAGCTACGAGTGCGAGTGGAAGCGCGTGGTTGACACCCCGGAGCTGCGCAAGAAGTTCCGGCAGTTTGCCAACGTCGAGGACAAGAAGTACGGGGATTTGGAGTGGAGCCAGCAACGTAAGCAGAAGAAGATTGCAGTGGAAGACCTGCCCACTGTCATTGGACCAGCAAAGATCGGCAAAGACAAGGCTGACGCCTCCTGGCGATGGGTCGACGTCGGTGAGGAGGGCCTCTTCCCGGCCAATGCTGGCTTTGCGGTCAAGGTGGGCAACTCGGAGCTGGCGGTGTACAACCACATCGCCATTGGCAAGTGGTACGCTACTCAGAACTCCTGCCCCCACAAGCAGCTGCAAGTGCTCTCCCGCGGAATGATCGGCTTTCAAGGCGATGTGCCCAAGGTGGCTTGCCCCATCCACAAGAACACCTACAACCTGGAGACCGGGAAGGGCATCAGCAACGCGGGCCTGAACCTGGCCACCTTCGACGTCAAGTTGGAGAGTGGCCGCGTGCTCCTGCACCTCCCTCCGGACGACGTCTTGGACAAGGCGCTTGCCCGCCAGGACCCCAAGGGCAACTCCGACTGCTCATCTTCCTGCGAGTTGCCAAAGGAGCTTCAGTGGTAAGCAGGCTCTACTTGGCTGATAGACTAGCCAAGCGGGGCCCCGTGGCCAAGATTTTCGTCAAGCTCAGACAGTCTTCTACCTGTGTTTTTAAGCGAAAGGCCGACTTCGAGGCTCGGGGCAAAAGCCCTTGAGTGAACAATTCAGTCACCGAGCGCCTGAGAGCAGGCCCGAGGGTTTCAAAGTTTTGTCGAGCGAGTGCTACAGTTCAAAGGGGTCCGAGAGGCATCATGCTGAGGATGATAATGAGGACCCATGCACAGTAATCATGACCATAACATTCAAAATAAGAAGGAGAAGAAGAAGAAGAAGAAGCAGTCATCTTCAAAAGAATGCCTGGCCCAGCCCCCGCCTGGCAATGGCTCTCGCCTCTCCGCACCGTCATTGAGACCTGGGCGGAGCCCGGTCCAATCGTCGTTTCTTAGGGCTTCTCGTGCTGAGAGCTGCAAAAGAAGCGCCAGTGAAAACCTGCAGTGACAAAATGCGCAGTTGATGAATGTATCTATATAGGGAGAGTCAAAACGGGGACGCCTCTGAGAACGCTGCGGCAGGCCCGGCAGGCACATGATCCGAGAGGCAGGCTGGGTTGTCTTTGCGAGCTCGGGTTTGTTGTGGCCGTTTGTTTCTGGATCCGTTTTGTCTTTATGTGCAGTGGAGTTCTTTGCAAGGTGCCCCAAGATACCTGCTTCAGGGGTTGCAGCGCCAGCCTTTTTGGTAGTTGCATGACATTTGCGGTTGAAAGCAAATTCGGCAGCCCCGGCCCAAAGACCGTCTTATTGCACTGCTGCGAGCCGCGCAAGAAAGCCATGCAATGCGCAAGAAGGAGCCGTCATGCAGATGCTCTGAGGCCCAATTCCCTTCAGCCTCTCTTTCAGCCACACACCCCTACACCTTTCTAGGCCAAGTTCCCAGGATCCGATGGCTCCCCCCAAACCCCAAACCCCAAACCCTAAACCCTAAACCCTAAACCCAAAACCTAGACCCTAGACCCTAGACCCTAGACCCTAGACCCAAACCCTAAACCCTAAACCCTAGACCCTAGACCCTAGACCCTAGACCCTAGACCCTAGACCCTAGACCCTAAACCCTGAAGGGAAGAATGTCAGACCCGAGGCTGTGTTGGGCAGCTTCTGGGTTGGCAGGGCTTCGTGCGTTGGACTCCAAGTTCCACAACCCAAAGGATTCCATGTACCTATATTAGGGTTTAGGGTTTAGGATTTAGGGTTTAGGGTTTAGGGTTTAGGGTTTAGGTAGTATATACTTGGGCCCCTAAAGCTACTATATACGAGACTCTTTAAGACCTAAGCATATACTGTGTAGGTACATTGATCCCTAGGGCAAGCTTTCGCTTTAGCTGAGGAGAGCATGACAGGTTACTTATGCCTGGATGCTTACTCACAACAACCTTTCTACTGCTCAAAAGCTGCCCCAACTCTTGGTGACTCGAGGGCTCTTGGCAAGTTACGTCCGGTTGTGAGTTAGAAGATTTGGCTTAGGCCTGTCTCACCGCAGCAATGTTGTGCAGCGAATTGATGACAACTGGAAGCGAGGTGGCTCGCATGGAACTGAAGGTTGTGCCGTGCTCAACTCAAACTGAGAACGCGTCCGTACGTCACGTGCGCGATCTCAAGCTCCATCTCCAAAAGTTCTGCGGCCACCCCCGTTTTCGACAGAGACTCTTGCAAGAAAATGGACAGATACTGCCTGACGCAGCTGTTCTAGATGCACCATGCCGATTGCAGCTAGTGTTGCTGGGCTTTGCAGAGAGTCCTGTATAGACAAGCTGCTCCAAGCAGTAGAAGCGAATGACCTGAGCCAAGTAGGAGCCATCTTGCAACGTTCGTTAAGACCCGAGCCTGGTGTCTTCGGGCCGTATCGCAGCTTTGCATGCTGCAGCCCTGTTTGGCAACGAAGCTGCTGCCTTGGACCTGCTTGAGGCCGGTGCAGACAAGGACCAAACTGGCAGAGGTGGAGCAACACCTCTTCTTCTCGCATCCCACGGGGGCCACTTGCAAGTGGCACGTTTACTCCTTGAAGCTGGCGCGGCAAGGATATAGCCGCGACAGATGGAGCAACACCTCTTAGTGTCGCATCTTACCGAGGCCGCTTGGAAGTAGCACGCTTGCTCCTTGAAGCTGGGGTAGGTAAGGATATAGCCGCGACAGATGGAGCAACACCTCTTTTCTTGGCATCTCAACATGGCCACTTGGAAGTGGCACGTGTCCTTCTTGAAGCTGGCGCGGGCAAGGATGCGTCCAACAAGCGGGCACGGATTCGGTAAACACAGATTCAGATGGCGTAACGCCTCTTCGCACCGCATCCGCGGCCACTTGGAAGTGGCAGATTTGCACCTTGAACTTGGCGGGGCATGCAGCCGCGACAGATGGAGCATGGTGCAGACACAACGTCCACTCAGAAAGGGTGCCGCGTAGTGTAGTTCCTGGCCCGACCCTAATAGGGTTTAGCGCTTTTCCTCGGGTGCGAAAGGCTTAAAGTCTAGGTTTCTTCAGAGCAGGGTAGGGTTATTATGAGCGTCGGACGAAACTATGGTAGATCGCATCTGGTCTTGATGTTGCATGCCTTCTGGGTTTTCGTCCACAGCAATAGGGGCCCGAAGTGCTACTGTCAGGCTCCTGTCAGTCTGTATCTGCGAGAAAGCTAATCTTCGAAAATCGATAGGGGCCCACCAAGCACGTTGCACAACGTTCAATCAACAGAGGGTTTTGTCAGCCGCTCATATCGGGTTTAGAGTTCTAAATCCTAGGGCAGAGGCGGAAATTTTCTCAGGGTTTCTCAAGCTTGGGTAAACTCTGGCCCCTTTTCATACCCGCAACTATAAGGAACATACTAAGCCGTTCAAAAATTGAAGCCCCGGAAAGGGGTAGGTAGCCTAGTAGTCCCTTGTACTCCCTCAGCCTCCCAAAGCTTCTTCACGGTTCCGAGGCACCTCCTTGCCCCTTAGAAGGACTTTGGTTTAGGGTTTAGGGTTTAGGGTTTAGGGTTTAGGGTTTAGGGTTTAGGGTTTAGGGTTTAGGGTGTATCATAAACCCATTGCGTTCATGGGAGCATCTCTGGCCAAGCGGCATATCCGGAAGCCTAAGCAAACCTTAGAAACGTTTATAAACATGAAGCAGCCTTACAGGCCCTCATAGAGAAATAACAGTCACGGACCGGGATAGGTCTCCCCTTGTGCGAAAGGCAGCTTTCCGCGACTGGATGTCTTAGGTCTTGGGTTTAGGGTTTAGGGTTTGTGGGGTGTGGGGTTTAGGGTTTAGGGTTTAGGGTTTTTGGGGCCCCTTGTAAACACCCTCTTCCCCTCGACTGCTGAGCCGGCGAAGCACAGAACCCTAAACCCTAAACAAACGGGCCCTAACAGCAAGACCATGGGACGGAGTGTTCCTCGCCCGGCGCGTCCGAGTAACCCTAAACCCTAAACCCTAAACCCTAAACCCTAAACCCTAAACCCTAAACCCTAAACCCTAAACCCTAAACCCTAAACCCTAAACCCTAAACCCTAGACCCTAGACCCTAGACCCTAAACCCTAAACCCTAAACCCCATGTCCGCAACCGGAAGAAGCGGGGAAGCAGGTTCAGGAGCGGCCCGTTGAGCTGCACTCCCACCTGGCCGAGGAGCGAGGGCAGCGCTTGGAGGCAGAGGGTTTAGGGTTTAGGGTTTAGGGTTTAGGGGGTTTAGGGGGTTTAGGGTTTAGGGTTTCGGGTTTAGGGTTTATAGGGATGTTTGGGAGATCATTTTGAGGGGTGCAGGGTCGAGGGTTTTAGGGGTGTGGGTCGAAAGGCATGAGGCGTCTAGGGGTTTGGGGTGGCTCATGAAGGCTTCGGTCATGGGATTTTTGGGTGAAAGGCCGACATCAAGGTTGTAAAGAGTCCTTATGAGATGGTGCTTGAGCAATTCAGTGCTTTTGCTTGGCATGTGGGCGCTTCACTAACTTGGGGTTCCTTGTTGGGGTACCTATATTTCTGCGGGCCTTGTATGTTCAGGGTACTTGTTTTCCAAGAGGCGCCACAATTTGGAACGCCCCGTGCTGGCATTCGTGACTGGTAGGGAAAGGGAGGGGGTTCCGTTTTAGGAGGGTCTAGGGTGCTCAACGTGAGGAGTTCAGAGTTATTTCGATTCAATAGCGGTCTTTGCGGCAACAACTTGGTGAATGTGTGGGAAGACCATTAAAAACGAAGACAAAGCACCTAGATAAATGTATAGGCAGACAACGATTGGGGACTGCCTTCCTCGAGGCTTACGCACTTTGGGCCACCACTTTCCCGAAAAAACCTGGAGCCCTCGTAGTGTGAGTTCGCTCTTGGTTGGGGATGCATAATAGAAACTCCCAAAAGCCTAAACCCTTAAACACTTAAACCCAAAAAAGCCTTCTTATTAAGAAGGTTTTTTTGGGTTTAAGTGTTTAAGGGTTTAGGCTTTTGGGAGTTTCACTATGGCGAAGTGCAGTCCAAGGCAGCCGAGGAGTTCAAAGGAGCTGCAGGCATCGAACAAGGCGGAGCGGGAGTCTGTGTTTTTGTGGAGACGTTGGAGGTTTCATGGTACTTTTTTTATCCAATTCTACCTGGACTTAAAAATTGAACTTATACCCATAAGACGTTATAGTTGCTTAACAAGTACCATGAACCTTCAAGCACTCTTCCGACGATGGGTCGCAGGTTGCGCGGATGGGGCTTCTTTTGGGGCGACGATGGGGTGCAGGTTGTTTACGTGGATGGGGCTTCTTTGGGGCGACGATGGGGCGCAGGTTGGTTACTCACATCTTGACTTGGCCCCCAAACTTAGCCCCAATTTGGAGACTCCTAGCCCCTAACCTTCGCCCCTTGGCTATGCTTTTCCGTGGGCGAAAGGTCTCTCTTCTCGGCCCCTGAAGCCTCGCCCCTTCGCCTGCCCTAATTAATACCTCTGTTCTTTGTTTAGGGTTTAGGATTTAGGGTTTAGGGTTTAGGGTTTAAGGTTTAGGGTGCCACCCTGCCATCCTTGTCTCGCACGGCCGACGCCCTTGGTTCATCAGGCATACTTCGCTTGGCTTATTGACAGTACTAGTAGAGTAGGCAACCTTTATCCTTTTTTGGGGCGTGAGATTCCCTTTATAATCCGAAAGGTTGAGCTTTAGTTCCCCGAGGATACTGGACAGCTAAGGTTTTTGGTTCGTCTTCAGACTTCGCTTGTTTGCAGTCGAGTCTGTAGCCCAGAGCCCTTGAGTTCAAGAACTCCGAGAGAGCTATGACGGAGTTTCAAGTTTTAGTCTCAGTGCTTCAGGTTTCGAGGCTTGGAGTTAGAGGTTTACAGCATTTAAAGCGTTTAGTGTTTTTTTTTTTGGGCGGGGGGGGGTGGGGGGTTATGGCTTCTGTTTGCAGTCTCCGGCACCCGCTTGCCAGGGCTCTTCGGCCCGGACTTGAAAGCCTTCACCAAGTGCAAGATCGGTTTCATGTTGACTCTGGGAAACCGGTGAAGGTAAAGCGGCCTCCGGCTCCAGGAACTGGCTGAGGGTATTCAGTTGCAAGCCATGAGGTGGGTAGACGGGATAAAATGGGCTCATGGGGGCCCTACAGACTTGAGAGCCGATCAGATTTGGGGAGCTTTCTTAGGGTTAGGAGTCAAGACAGTGGCCCCATTCAGCTCATGCACGGCGGCAGGGCCTTTCTCCTCCTCTGGGTCGCATGTGTGGTGGCGGAGGAGTGGTTGATAGAGACGCTGTACTCCGACCACGAGTGCAAAAGCCTTGTTGAGGATGACGTGCCCGCGGGAATGTTGGGCGAGTGCTCACAGATATATTTCACGAAGTACACGAAGTCAGACGTAAATGGCACGCATGCTGTCGTGCGCGACTACAACTTCTCGAGCTCCAAGTGCGAAAGCGAGCCACTTCAGGAGAACAGGTACGAGCTCAATACCTGTACTGCGCGTGAAGACGGGGGTGCCAGCAAGTGGACACTGCAGACCTTTGATGCATGGAGGGTTCGAGTCTACATGGAGCCGGCCTGTGCAGGAACACGGACCGTTGAGGGACTTCAACCTCTGGGCTTTTGCCGCAGGTCATCAACCCACGAGAGCAGCCAGAAGCTCTGTCACGGGGGCAAACTGCTACAGTACGAGTACAAAAACACTGCCAACTGCTCAGGCCCTGGTGAGGAGGCCGGGGCCGACATTTTCCTGAATGGGTCCTGCTTTGAGTGGTCTCTTACCTCTCTGGGCAACATCTCACTCCGGAATTGGGGAGTTGGGGGCTCCTGCCCTTCGCCAACCCCAGCCCCGCCAACTCCACCAGTTACTCCCTCCTCGCTGGACAGCCATCCGCTGGCTGCGGTGCTGGGGTGTGTGTTGCTGGCGCTGGCCGCGGCATTCCTGTTTCTCTTGCTCAGGAGGCCAAGGGGACGGAGGGCACTGGTCACGCAGAGGAACCAACTTGAGCTGGAGCAGCTGCAGTGAGGTAAGCCAGTTGTATCGCAAGAAGTTGTTTCTAGAGTAAGTACTATACTATAGTATGCAAAAGAAAAGTATAGTATATAGCACACTACAGTATAGTATAGAAAAGTATATAGTATACCAAGTCTACTTGCAAGTCAGCAGGTGCAACTTATCGGCAGCTCTGAGCGTGGGGAGGTTGGAGACGGCCTACATCCTCATTTGCTACTATAGTATAATATACTATACTACTACTATACTATAGCATACTAGAGTACAGTATTCTATAGGATAGTATACTACACTATCACTACGCTATAGTATAATATATTCTATTACTATACTATAGTATACTACAGTATAGTATACTACAGCATATTTTTATCTAAGTGCTTTTCGATTGTAATAATCGCAGAGGCGGCAAAGCCACAGCAGCAACAACAACAACAACAACAACAACAACAACAACAACAACAACAACAACAACAACAACAACAACAACAACAACAACAACAACAACAACAACAACGACGACAACGACAACGACAACAACAGCAACAACAGCAGCAACAACAACAGCAACAGCAACAGCAACAACAACAACAACAACAACAACAACAACAACAACAACAACAACAACAACAACAACAACAACAACAACAACAACGACAACCACAACGACAACCACAACGACAACGACAACAACCACAACAACCACAACAACAACAACCAACCAACCAACCAACCAACCAACCAACCAACCAACCAGCCAGCCAGCCAGCCAACCAACCAACCAACCAACCAACCAACCAACCAACCAACCAACCAACCAACCAACAACAACAACAACAATGGGAACGGGAGAGAACCCAACAGCAGCAATACAGGTACCGACCGTGGCCATCTCCGCACTTAGATAAAGATATACTATAGTATACGATACTCTAGTATACTATAGTATAGTCACAGTATAGTATACTATACTATAGAACACTATAGTAAAGGAAGATATTCGAGCACGATGCAATCGTCCAAGTCCTTGCCAACGAAGACGGGACGCAATATCTCCGTGGGAGACGCGCTCCAAACTGGCGGCCGGTCACAGTGGTGATCCACGAGTATGACCCGACAGCGCTGATGGAGTTGCGCTTGCTGGTGATGCCGGTGTTGGAAGATAAGGTGCTTGAGCCCTGTTCAGCTTTCCGGAATAGAGCTCCATTCGGTAGTTTATGACAGACAAGGTGATCTAGGTGGCAAAGTGTTTAAACTGTTTACAATCCAGATTGGGATGTTTTGAGCTACTCTTGAGAACTAGAGTGCTCAAAATGGGTGGCCAAGCTGTGTGCCCGACTGAGTGTTCTTCCACTTCTTCTGCTGGCCGCCCTAAGGCGTTTACGGTGGAGTGGAAGATCCAAAACTTCAGCTGAAGGAATCCGCGATGAGATCGCTCAGCTTCCATAACGCCACCCGCTGCATCGCAAGCACCCTTCTACAGAATCGTTACCGTGCCTTGGGACATGTTATACCTTTTCCCTGAGTGGGTCTTCAGGAATATTTTTTTGAGAGGCTTTTAAGAGGGCCTTCCTAGGCAAGAATCGAGCAGAGGTTGAAGGTGACGTGGCACGGCGTGGACTCCCCAGCCGCATGGGCGGCAAAGCACTTAAAGGCTGTGAGCTGCTGACCATGAGCTCCGACGTCCACCGGAGGATCGCGTCATCAAGCGACACGCTGTGTGAGCTTCTGGAACGTAATTGCACCCGAGTGGATCGTGCGAGTAATTCCACCCGAGTGGATACGATCATGAGGCATCAGAACTTCGGATCCCGATGGCAGAGTGACGAGCTCGTGAGTTGGCCTCCAAAGCTCTCCAAAGTGTGGCTTGCTGCCACAGGCATGGCCAGTGCAGCTTGGGCCTACAGAGACGAGTTGCAACTGCTGCAGCCAAGGCCTGGATATCGCTGAGTACATTCATGCATCTTCTGGTCCCCGGAGCGTCGGCAGATGCCTCGGAAGCCCAAGCTGCCACACTGAAAGACATGAGGCTGCAGGCGGCAAGCTTTCCGATGGCATTTCTAAAGGTTGTTGGAGGGGCCCTCGCCCAGGAGATTGCAAACTGGGATCTTGGGGTGCTGGAGGTTCTCTTGCGGAGCGTGATTATAGCTGGGAAGAGTGAGAAGGCACGCTGGACAGCAGAGGAGGCTCAAGTGCTTTTTTGCGATGTCTAGATCTTTCGAACATCTCTCCGAGACGCGGCGCAGTTGAAGGACCTCACAGCTGCACTCCGCTTGACCCGCAACATCTCGACCGTGCACGTTGACCGTGCGGAGTGCGGAGAGCGCGCGGCACCGAAAGATGAGGAGTGGAAGAAGCTCACCTCGGCGCCGCGCCACGTAGAGACCGTCCTGATACCGAAGTTCGACATCGGCAGGTTGGCTCCGTGGAGCTGCGGAGCCGAGGGCAGACCTTAGACTTGTATAGGAACAACATCACCCAGCTGCCGGAAGATGCTTTGGAAGTTGGAGCGACCCCAAGGTGCTCATTCTGAACTACAACAAGATCGGGGATTTGCCTCGGAAGGTCTTTCACCACATGCCGCACCTGGAGGAGGTACGGCTGGATGACAGTGAGCTGTCCCATCTGCAGGAGGAGACCTTTTTCGAAGCTTCACAACCTCCGTGAATTGAACTTGGGCGACCAGGTAGGGCCCTTGGCATATTTTTTTGTGTTCCCTAATCGTGGGTTTAAGAGGACCATAATTTAGAAACCCTAAACCCTAAACCCTAAACCCTAAACCCTAAACCCTAAAATCATTTTTCAGAGGCTTTCTAAGGCCAGCCTCAGGTGACAACCCGCCCAAAAGCTTGGATCAGCAGGTGTGTTGCAAGGCTGGGCCTCCTTGCAGAAACGGTTCCTTGGGGGATACTCGGAAACAACTTTTTGTTAAAAACAAATTGGGTACTTCAAGTCCTCAGAAAACAGGTAAATGTTGGAACTATAATTTCCAAATTTCGGGGTACTTTAATTCCCAAGAAACAGCTGACATTATGACTTTTGCTGGGTTTCCCCAAGTTTCAGTATAGGTACCCTAAACCCTAAACCCTAAACCCTAAACCCTATGCGGAGCTGCAACTGGTATTGTAAAAAGAGTTAGTGTTGGAAGTTGAAAGGGTTAATAAACCCGGAAATCATTTTTTTGGCTCAAGACTGGGCCATGTGCCTGGTAGTAAAAGGTGAGTGCCCTGTGGTTTGGGTTTGTTGTGTGGTTGATCCAGGGAAATCAAGGGATTCTGTTGGGGTTGACTTTTCGGTTTCTCGTCCCCCTTCGGGTTCCCCCCGTAGGTTATGAGCCCAAATTAGGTTCCCTGCGGTTTGTGTTTCGGCTTTAGGGTGGAAGCTTGAAGCCATGGCGACCAACTGGTTACGGACTGGGGTGGCATCATCAAGCTCCAATGTGGGCGACCAAGGTGATGGTGGTGTCAAAAGGTCTGCAACGGGTGAAAAAGTCGTTCCCAATGAGGAAGCTCTGGTTGATGTTGGTGGTATGCGTGGCGAAGAGAAGCCGGTGGTGGAAGGACTGGAAGACCAGATGGAAGCAGTTTTGCTGCGCCTTCTGAGCAAACATGGGCATCTTCTTCGAGCTGCGGAATCTGCTGAATCAACGGGAGCGCCAACAACAAGCTCCTCTACGTCAAAGATGGTGGAGCAAGGGTGCCAGACAGAACTGGTTGGGGATGTTATCCCTGTTTCCAAGCGAGCTCGCAACAAGGTGAGTTTCGCGGCTGAAAGTGGTGATCTGTTGACAGGTGAAGTGGAAGAAACTGCGCCTGTTGCTGCGACAAAAAGCAGTATCCTCGTTGTTGGGGACGCAGAAGGAGTCGTTCGTGTTGCTATGGTGATGAGCGAAGGAGAAATCCTGGAATTGGAGGCAGCAAGAATACAGCAAGAGTCAGACGAGGACTTATACGCTGGTGGTGGAGGCAAAGCGTCTCAGGCTGCTGACCTTCCAATCGTCGACTGCGATGGGAAGACATGGGAACGCCATTTTCACGAGGATGGGAGAGAATATTTTTACTGCTTGGACACTGGTGATACCCAATGGGTGTTGCCTAAGAAGACTGGAATGGCTGGAAATAGCGAGGGGCCAGGTGTTGGAATGGGCATTGTCCCTGTGGAAGATGAGCCAACGCTGGGTGCTACCTCGTCTCCCTCATCTACTGAGTCTTCTAGGGCACAGCAGGGTAGCATGGAAAGTGTGAACAGCGGTGTAAATAGTGTAAGAGAAAAGGATTTTTCCTCTACTATCGGGGATAGCGGTCCTAGGGGTGGTGGTGACGCCCCGACCTCGGGTTCTCCTGATGAAGAGGGGATTTCTGGAAACCGAGCAGACATCGCTGAAGCTCAACATCTGGATCGGGAAGAAATGGGGATGCTTTCTGAGGGTGTGGCAGCGGTGGAATCGGTGGGTCCAGAAGAAAAAATGCCCAATGTGGAGATCGGAATTGTGTCGGCTACAGAAGAGCGAGTGGTGGATGTGGTGCCTGTTGTTCAGGAAGATGGCCCTGGAGATTTGGATGACGAAGAGAAAAAGTTGTGCATTACGACTGAGGAGGTCTCTTCGTTTGGTGCCGAGAATTCTGCCATTCAAAGGGAAAAGGAAACTTCTGAAACTGCTGGAGACACGGTTGATAAGAAAGATGAGGCCTGGAGCGCCAATGAAGCGCGGGTCGATGCGCCAGATAGTACCTGGAGTGCGAATGAGGCACGGGTTGAGGTGCATATGGTGGTACGTTCCACGGGCGACTGCAACAATGGGGCGCAGGTCTCCGCAGCAGCTGATGATGGAGGTTCACAGGTGGACGCACTGGTGCAACCTGAAATTAGCCGCGAGGAACGAAATGACAAGGACTACACCGGAGCCAATGAGGCAGCTGTGGTCAATGATGGTGGCAATTCTCCTTTGGAAACCGTGGAACCAAAGGAGCCTGCGGTGGAAGAAAGTGTGCCTGCCGTGGATGATCAACTCA